CCATCACGCCCAGCTGATTGAGGATTTAAACAGACTTTTTTGTTTTTTTAATAGGAGGGAGGAGCCAATGCTGGACAGGCCCACACAGCCCCGCTGCTCACAGTGCTCGGTGACGCTCTGACCAGTGAAGGGTCACACTTGTGACAGTGACAGGTCGTGTGAGGGGTGTGAAGCAGCGCACGGTTTGGGCAGTAACTTGAGGTTCAACACGCAACCACACCCTATGCCTTGTAGCCTCATTTGATCTCGGCAGCAGCCCTCCATAGGAAAGGACAGGCCCACTGTGCAGGACAGGGAACCGCTCCAGGTCACAGTGCTGAAGGAGCCGTGGTGGATCGCAATGCCACCCAGATTCTAGAGCCTCAATCTTCACTCCCACCAGCGTGGGCTTTGGAAAGTCTGCAAGCCGCAGGGATCTTTGGGGACACTTGCTGGGCGGGCCTTTCACCAATGATGTGTGATTGGCTGTTCCTTGTGGGACAGGATCTCTACCTTGTTTCCTGGCTTCTTGCATACACACCAGAAATTACCTTACTAGTTTCTGTTTGTTGATTGGCTTGCAACAAAAGGACTGAGTCCCAGAGCCTGGCATAACTGGTGGCCAGACAGTGTCTACTGGCCTAATATGGAAGAATGACACCGGAGCCCAGGCCCAGCCACTGAATCTCCGTGAGATGCTTATGTGCACTGAGCGAGGACAGCTCACTGCAGCCAACCCAGTCATGCCCATGGCGTCCTAGATGTTCCCACTACCCAGGGGTCCTGAACTGCCTACGCAGGGCATCTGTCCACCTGTGGCTTGCACACACGGTCCAGCAATACTATCTATAAGGCATTTCTTAGGCTGAGCTGGCTCCCATTGCATGCTGTTTAAGAATCCTGGATGGCTAGAGACTGCCCCAACGGAGGTGGGCAGTTTCCATTTGTTGAGTGTGATAGTTTGAGCTCCTGGTGGCTGGAGCCAACAGTTTGTTCCCCAGGGGCCAATGGGACACACTGAAAGGGAAGATCAGGAACTCTGGCTTCTGCCATGCAGCCAGTGGCTTGCCCACCGTCGTTATGAAAATATCTGGGAGCTGAGGGATGAGGAAGGCACGCATACTGGAGGCATCACGGTGTCCCTCCCAATGGAATGTGCTCAGAGGCAGTGAAGGAGCCATGCCGCTTGTCTTGCATGGGTCTGTGCCCCAGCTGGTGAGGAGTCTTCAGACTTGGGATGAGCTGAGTGGTAGGTTTCCTGCCTTCTTTGCAGTGAGGTTGTAAGGGGTCGGGGGAGAGTGGATACCACAAAGCAGGCTCTCAGGAGCAATCCCAAGGCTGGTGCTTTCCTTTGGCTGGGCACTGGGGTCCAGCAGCTGCTCCATGGCCTGTTCCATCCTCTGGGTTAGCAGGACTTGGGAAGCCAGAGCTTGGACTTAAAGCCTATAGGGACTACCTCACACAGGTGTGATCCTGTCAGCTTCCAGGAGCCTTTGGGATGTAATGGTACCAGGCAAGGGGCAGAGCAGCCCTTCAGCCTCCTGCCCACTTAGCCCTGCGGATCTTGGGGTGTGGCACTGCAGTGTTCAGACCTGGAAGACTAGGAGAGTTTCTGAACCTCAGTTTCCCTAGCTGTTAAGTGGGTATCATAATGGGCTCACATGGGGCACTGGACAGAGTGACCAGGGTATGCGATGACACATTTCTTTCTTTGGAGTAGTTACAACTCCTTGGAGTAGGGACAGTGCCCACATTGCTTGTGGCTGTAGCTATACCTGCCCCAGCCCGAGGCACAAGAGTTCTCTGGGCCTATTTGTTAGGTGAATGAGGGCCCTGGGCCAGCTCCTGGCTGGAACACCTGCCAGCTGCTCAGCCCATCTGGCACCATCTGGGCGAGTGACAAAACCATCCAGCAGACTGTACACGGAAGCCCCCACAGTATGTACCTGGACAGTGTCCTGTGGGGACAGAAGGTTATGGAGTGCACGGGAGCCCCTGAGATGAAAGGATCATGGCCGCAGATGCCTAGAGCTGGTAGACATCCATGCTTGCCCCTAGCCTACCTTTGCTCCCCTACCTCCCCCAGGGACCTCTCTCCCGAGCCTAGCTTTGGCTGCCTGTTTGCCCCCACTGACTTCACAGTCCCAGTCTGGAAGACAGCCTGACCCCTGAGCCCCTGCTCTGGATACAGCACATAGCCTCCAGGGCAGTGAAATCAGACACCCAGGCCCGGGACTGAATCTCAGTTGTGGAGTTGTGACCTCCGGCACGCCAGGTCACTCTCCTAACCTTGGTTGAATGAGGCCAGCCACACCCCAGTTCCTCCGATCCCCGGGTAGATTTACGGGAATCATCCATGCAGACGTGAAGCACAGTGGGCAGGGCGGGACTGACGGACAACCTCGGCCATACCACTTGGCATGTGGGGCCCGCTCATGGGCCAGTGGTGCTTCATCTCCCATCATGCCCCACCTTTACATGTTTAGTCTTACTTCTGTCTCTGCCGAGGAGATACCTCCCTTTCCACCTCCATGGTGAAAACTCTGCCCTGGGTGAACACAGGAACACCTTCCTTCTTTCTGACCCTCTTCACTGAACCTGTGCATGACTTGCCCATAAATGCAGAGACCATGTTGGCTTCAAAGTCACAAAGACCTACCTGCCTCTGCCTCTTGCGTGCTGGCATTAAAGGTATGGGCCAGCACACCTGATTCTTTTTTTTTTTTTTTTCCTTAAGACAGGGTCTCACTCTGTATGTAATCTTTTGTCTACTGAGCTTGCAGTCTTCCTGCCTGAGATTCCCAAGTGCTGGGACTAGGGGTGTGAGCCACAGTACAGCTGGCAGACATTTTGGGAAGTCCGACTCAATGTCCCATTCTCTCAGATGTGGACAATGAGGTTCCAAGCAAGCTGGCCAGAAAACCCATAGCTGAATCAGCCTTGCCCGTATGACTAGTAACTCCAGCTCTCTGTCGGCAAGATGATCTGTGGGAATTGTTACACAGGCAGGAGTGTGGAATGAAGCTGAGTTAGACATTGCCCAGGGTCGGCTGGATGACCTGAACATATCTGAGGCTAAGATCTGCATTACATCTGCCTGCTTCAAACCACCTGGCGCTCTGCCATTCCCCCATCCCCACTGCGACCCAAACACCTACCAGGGTAAGAGAAGTGTGAAGGAAAGGCAGCCATGGTGCCCAAACCAGGAGAGTTGTCTAGAGAGTGGCAGGAGACTGGGGTGCAGCCCGGGGTACCGGCACGGTCTTTGACCCAGCAGCAAATCTCTGATACCTGCTGGTAGCAGTGAATGCTCCTACCCAGGAGTGTAAGGACCAAAGGAACTCCAGAGAGAATGCTGACTCTATCCCTGGGACAACCAGTAACCATCAGAAGCCCACAGATGGCAGAGACCAGGCTCTCTCAGGCCCTTTTCTCTGCTGTCCTGGAGGGGAAAGTACAGCTCCAAAAGCAAGGGCCTTGGCCTGAGCTCCCTGTTGGTGGGTGGCAGAGTTGGGACATGAGCCCTGTGGCAGGATGATCTCGGCCCTCAGAGCACGCTCTAGAACTACACCATCTGTTACACATATGCTCAGCAGCAGCGCTGGCTGTCACGACCACAATGAAGAAATGATTTCACTAGGACCCGTGTGCCAACGGGTGGGGACTGCTGGCCTATGTCTTGATGCAGCCTCTCCAACGCTGGCCTATCACCAATGTGGGACGCACAGGCGTGCAAACCCCTCAGGTGTGCAAACACTTCAGCCAGGCCCCTGCTGGCTGAAGCATCCTTGCTAAGGCACTGTTCCACACAGGTGAGTCCCCAGCCTGTGCAAACTGCATGAAGAAATGGCAGGTGACCTTTGTCCTGTATCTATGCTGACTGTGAGGGACAGGGGTTTCCAGTCAGAAACCCCGGGAAGCTTGGTCTGGAGCATCAGGTCTATGGGTAGCTCTACATTCTTTGTTTTTGTTTTATTTGTGTCTTGAGACCATGGCCTGCTGTTTATCCCACTCTGCCTGGCTTAGCCTTGACTCAGGAAGTGACAGGTGACGAGAAGCGGGAAGTAGGCTGCCCTCTAGATGCTAATCCTGAGCCTGGCTGGAGGCTCCAAGCATCTCATGCTATCACCACACTGATTCTCAGCGCTAAAGTCTCCCAGAAGAGTGGGTGTTGTTTGCACCCGCCTCTGTCCCCACAGCCTGGACAGTGAATCTGTCCATGGTTCTGCAGCCGATCTGAGAAATGTAAGGTTCCAGTGAGGTGTGATGACATGAGCCTGTGACCCAGCACACAAGCAGCTGAGGCTACACAGTGTACCCAACCTCAAAAACAAAGAACCAAAACCCCAACCAAAAATGACGCAGGGCGCACTGCACACCCCCTGCCGAACTTAGGGAGAACCCACTGTCTGCTGGATCCCCGCTTCTAGCAGCACAGCTGACAGAGGTCAAGGGCTGATGGCTTTGCCACTGCCAGAAACGGAGTTTTGCACTTCACCTAAATGTTCCTAAGTACCCACAAGCCCCGCCGCCTATCAGAAAATCCCACTTGTTTTCCAGTTATCAGCAAGCTAGCCTTTTGAGCTGGTAGCTCCCATTCTAAAACAACACCAGAGCCGGGCTGCAGTGTTCAGTGGTGGCCATCACACCGCAGGCTTATCTTGGGGGGGGGGGGGGTGTTGTAGAACTTTTCTAATACTGGGGTGTTGGAGGTATCCCAGGTGAGAGTTATGTCTAAGCTATTGGGGCTGGCTTCTGTAAGCACCACGGAAATCAGAACCTACAGAATATGCCTGCAATCCAGGTTGCTGCCTATAGGAAGGGAGTGGAGGGAGACGGGCTCTAGGGACGCATCTCTGAAATGGCACCTCTAAAAATGAAGCTGGGCACATGTGACAACTGCCCAGCTCTCTTAACTCAGATCTAAAGCCAAGATGTGTCCAAACACCCCAAGTCTTCTTGCTACTGTGAGTGCCCAAGCTATCCAGACACAGGGCTGGGTACAAACCACAGCAGAGCCATCACGTGCTCAAGTACAAATTTAATAAAGCCCTGACACATCGTAGTCCATAATTACCTACGAAAACAAAAATCCCACTCCTTTTTGGAACCACCAAGAGCTGCTGGGGTGTCAGTGAACAGCAGCAGGACACAGATTGGTGCTTGGATACTGTGATGGAACTGTGGGAAAGCAGGCTCTAGTGAACTTCAGACAACCCTAGGTCAAAAGCAAACAGGTCAAGTTGATGTTGGGCTTCTAACTCACCCTCCCCATGTCCCTGCTGTAACTCTCAGGTTCTGTATTACTCATGCAGGCTGTGCATGGGGTACAGGAATCTTTGGGCGAGCTGGGTACACACATGGGTGGCAGACATCTTCCAAGGACCTTGACAGCCTTCCATCCAAGTAAAGCCGGCGCTGCTCTCCAGAAGCCTGGAGGTCTTTTGTTCCTCACTGAAGCGCACAGGTTCCTGCTGGGAGGAGTTTCCTTGCTTTGAGCGATGCTACCCTAAGCTGGCTCCACAGAGTGGAGGAGGGACCAGACGCCTGGCCTTCACCAGGGGGTGGAGATGCAAGAACTGCATGAGGCAGGAGATGCATGGGTGCTACCAGATCACTAAGCCTCTGCCTCAACATCCTGAAATGGAGGAAGTTCTTCCGATAAGCGGAGAAAAGGAGGGCCCAGAATTTCGATGGGTGGGAAAACAAAATTAAGTGCAAAACAAGAGCACAGAGCCAACAGAGGCAGTGTGGAGGTGTGCGGTATATAGCCTCAGCCTCTGGGGCCTGTCAGTGCAAGAGGATGGGCTTCTCAGTCCCTGGAATGAAGTACTGCCCAGAGCACTGGGCACTCTAGGCTCCCATGTGGTTCTCCATAAGGTAACAAAGGGCAGACACATAGAGAGAACAGGCTCTGGGTACCCCAGAAATGGGGCTGTTTGTCAGGAGTGGCAGGGGTCTCTCCCAAACTCAGACACTGATGCACAGGCCAGGAGCCAACAGCAAGGGTTCCCTGACAGTGTGGCCTGCTGAGGGCTTGGGAGGGAGGGCTGTGGTGTGAAACACCTGGATCCCTGTACGAGACCCTGACTGTGCTCAGCAGCCTCCCTGGCAGGAGCTGGGCTTGGTTGCCTGGCAAGAGGCTGCTGTGGACAGGGTAGACGCAGGGTCTTTGCCGTGCATAGAGGCTTGGTGAGGCCGTACCTGAGTTTTGAGAATGGGAGGAGGAGCTCACAGGCACAGGCTTTGTGTACTCAGAGGGCAAGGGAAGACAGAACTTCAGAACTGCCCCCACACAACTACCAGGAGTCCCTCTGCAATCACAGGTCCAGGTTTCAGGCCCCAGGAGGCAGGGAGAGGACCTGTGTGGGCAGAACTGGGCTTTATTTTCAACAGCCCTCCCTCCCCAGCACCCTAAGGGTGCTGTGCACCCCAAGCTTGGGTGTCTCATGGCTATTGAGAGGGTGTGAGGGCTGAAGTAACCTGGCCCCACTCCCAGGGGCATGTTGCCTCCAGGAGCTGAAGGGCTCTGTAGTCTGGGTGCCCTCGGGGCTGGTAGATGAGACAGGGGTTGGGCTAGGAGAGCTCAAAGCCTGTGTTCATGCTGATGGCATAGCGCAGTTTCTCTCGGAGGACGCTTTTCTTGCTGTAGTTGGGCAGCTTGAGCAGGTTGAAGCAAGTGGAAGAAGTGGGCAGCCGCCCACCTGGCTCCCGCTTGCGGATGGTGAAGAAGCCCCTGAGGACGCTGCCCAGGGTATCCCCAGTGTCCTGCAAGCACACACCACAGCTTTGGGTCAGAAGGTGCCTGCATGGGTGCAGAGGAGATGTCCAGCTCCAGACAGCGGGCTGAGAGGCTGAAGAGGAACACCTGTTCCTCTGGCCACTCACACCTGTGCCTCTGGGTACTCACACCTATGGCTCTGGATATTCACATCTTCTTCTCTTAGAACTCACACCATGGCTCTGGGCACTCACACCTGCTGCTCCTGATACTCACACTTGCTGCTCTAGGCACTCACACCTGCTGTTCTGGACACTCACATAGGAGTCCTGTGCTAGGTCACCTGAAACAATAGGCCTCCTGGCTAATGGACACTTATCAGTTAACTAAGGGATCCTAACACCCTTCCTCTGTCAGTACCACAGCCCGCAACTGACTAACACTTGGCTCAACTTTTCCCAAAGTCTGGAGGTGGAGGACCATTTAGTATGTGGCCAAGGGGAACACAGCCTGTGGTGAGACAGGGACACCCTAAGGCTTTCACAGGGCGGCTACATCTGAGCTACACATGGCCAGGCTCTCACACACTGGGCAAAGCGTCCCAGGGCATCCTTGGTCAACCTGTAGGCAACAGCAGCTGGCATGGTGTGCATGGCCAGCAGGGGGAGGAGCTGGGGAGCACAACTGCCCTTATCCTGGGTGTCACCCTCTCTCGCTGTGCCACTTGGCCTTTGAATCTAGCTAGATCAGCAGTCATGAGAACAGAGTCCTGATCACACACTCCCACAGGCCTTCCCAAGGAGGGACCTCAGGCAAGTGCTGAGCCCCACTTGTCTGCAGTGCCCTCTGTGGGTGGCTGGCAAGGGTGGGAGGCACACGGTGGGCACAGCAGACTGAGCAGAAGGAAGGAAGGAAGGAAGGAAGGCAGCACGGCCTTAGTTACCTGGTCATCTGACACTTCCACACAGCGGATGGAGAACGGAGGCTTGAGGTAGGCGAATCCTAGGAGCGGGGGCCGGGAGCAGCTGGTCACAAACTGTAATACAAGGCAGGGTCAACAGGGACAATAGGGGCTTCTTGCTTCTGCAGCCATGCTGGGCTCCTCTCCAAGTGCTGCTCACTGACCTTTCTCTAAAACTAGGAGTATTAGGGAGGTGCTTGCCCCACTAGTGCCCAGGAAACATCACATTTCTCACAGTGCCACTCTCTAGAGCCAATGCTCATGAAGTCATGGCCCACTGTACAACACTGGTGGCTTTTAGGGCAACTCAGGGTGACATGCATGGAACTGTTCTTGTTCTCCTTTTTATCACTGTCTGACAAGGCCAAGCTGGCTTTCAACTTGTTGCTCTGTAGCTGAAGATGCCCTTTGACTCTTGGTGTACAGCACCATACCCAGTTTACGGCGGATGGGTCTCTCACTGCACTGTCCTACAGTCAGCAGCAGCAGGAACAGATCAGTGACACCTGTCCTCAGGGAAGACAGCAGGGCAGCATCTGAGGGGGCCTAAGTGAGCAGACGCTGCTGGCGCCCATGGGCCACGGTCTGGAGCCAGTGAGCCCTAGTGTAGCTTGAACGCCTGACTTCATGCACCACACACTGGTGACTTGCACGTATGCAGAGCATCCCATGGTCCAGGCTGGGGGCGAGGTGGGTCTGCTGGAGACTCAACAGCAATCAGCACACTGAGAAAAATCCAGGTCTACAAAGCCAGTAAGGCCGTGGGAACGAAGTGTGGGACACTGGCTGTGGCAGCCAGCACACTTCTCAGCAGCGCTGAGCACCTCCTGGCATTCTCTACACACAGCACCTGCCTCAGCGCTTCAGAGAGGATTGTTCTGCTCCAGACAACTCTAACTCAGCAGTAACCACATGCACTTTTTCAAGAGAGGGAATACCAAGCCTGGTTCTGAAGTTCAGCAGCTAATGTAGTGTGGGTCATACCACCACGTAAGCGATGTTATAATGGCAAGACAGCTTGATGTGTCATGCTTCAAAAGGTTTTAGTAAGTTACTATGTTCCTGGGAATGGAGACGCGGCCCAGTCGTTAAGAGTGCTTGCTGCTCTTCCAGAGGACCTGGCTACAATTCCCAGTACCCATCTCAGGCAGCTCACAACTGCCAGTAACTCCAGGTGGCCTCTGAGGGCACTCACACAGCATATACTTACACAGATACATATACACCAATAAAAAAGTAAATCTTAACGAAAAAGCTACTGTGTTGCTGTTCTGGTACATTTAACTTTGGATCTGGGTTGGCCCAAGGGGGTGGGGGACATTAGCTCTCATGACACCTAAGAGCAACAGGGTCACATTCTCTTGAGCAGGGACTTCTACTTCCTTCAGCTGGCACTGATGCCCCTGCAGGCAGGTCTGCGGACAGGTGCCCCAAAGGCACAGACGCACCTGTTGCACGGGTTGACTGTTCAAATGTGTAACCTCACCAGCAGCAGCCCGCTATGCCAGGCAGTGTGCTGCTGGGAAACCAGCCAATGCTCCCAGAACCACTTGTTGCAACAAATGCCCCTGTGCCCTGGACACCCATGGATGAGTGGAGCCCACGTGAATACCGGCTGAACTGGAGTGGGTGAAGGTTCCTTCAGCAGGAGGGAACTCAGTGCAGAACGGCCAGCGGGGAGGAAGACTAGCTGTTGCTTTGGTGATACCAGCAGGCTGTCTTCACAAAATGGGTTGCACTAGAAACTCACATGCATAAAAACTGGGTGTGGTGGCACACACTTGTAATCCCAGTATTTGAAGGTGGAGACAGGAGGACCAGGACTTCCAGGTCATCCTTGGCTACATGTTACGTGCAAATCAGAGAGCATCTTGGGATGCGTGAGACCCCGCCTGAAGAAAAGGACAGGGTGGAGGCAAGAGAAGAAAGAGAAAAGTGTGCGAGCCAGCCAGGAAGCCTTGGGGCAAAGATTCCAAGGCACTGAATACATTCCTAGACCACAGCTTTTCAGAGAGAAAGAGAGCAGGTGGCAAAAGGATGATGGGTTTTTAATGTCAATCTACTCATACTTGATACAGAGACAAATATGTGTGTTACTCAGCATCTCACAAATGCTTATACTCTGCTGATGTCATTCACCAAATCTGGCAGCACTCAGGGACATAGTGGACAGTCAAGACTTCCCTGATACCGGGGCAGCAAGCAGTTATCTACAGATACTCTACTTGAGAGAGCACACAATACTCCAGGCATGGTGGCCAAACCTGGAATTTCAGTACTCAACATGTTGAGGCTGGAGGACTGCCCTGAGTGGGCCAGCCTACAAAGTCCTGCCTGAGCTACATATTGAGAACCTGACTTAGTCCCATGTACTCCCTCAAAGCTGACCTCAACAACTGTATGTGCCTGTGTACATGTGTGTGCATGTGTGTGAGTGTGTGTGATACATGTATTATACTACTGGGACAGAGTACCTGGGGGTAGTCCCTTAGGTAAAAGAAACTCTACATTGGAGTGATATTTATAATTGTATTTTTTTTCTTTTCTTTTCTTCTTCTCCTTCTCCTTCTTCTTCTTCTTTTTCCTTCCTTTCTCTGAGACAGTGTTTCTCTGGGTGGCCTTAGCTGTCCTGGAACTCACTCTGTGGACCAGGATGCCGTTGAACTCAGAGATCCCCTGCTGGGACTAAAGGTTTGTTTTGCCACCATTTTCTTAAGGTAATGAGGCAGTGCTGAAGATGGTGAGGGTGGGGCCTGCCTCACTTTGAGGAGCAGAGAGCAGGCCCTGCCCCATCGTTGCAGCCTGCCTCTGCCTCCTCAGGCATTGGCATAGGGCAGCAGCTATGCTGACACGGTGTGGTTCTCTGGATAACCATGCTGTTCTCAGTGAGGTACAGTGAGTGGCCCAAAGTCTGCACATGCATTCGGGAACGCACATAGAGGTTGTAAATCAGGTACCTTCAGGAACATGGCTCTTTCATCGGGTGTGAAGTCAGAAGCCAGAATATCCCAGAGCCAGATGATGACTCTATGACTCCCGTGGAAGCCGCCGTAGTACACCGTGTGCTTCCTGGAAACAATGGGGAAGAGGGCTCAGGGCGTGGTGGTGACACGGGTGTAGGCAGGCCCACTGACATAGGCTCACGAGTCACAGCCTCATCCTCTGGAAGCAAACCAGACGGAGGCTCCAAGGCAGCGCTGCTGTCATAGGGACCAGTGCTGGGGCCTCAGAGAGCACCCGTCCTCAGGTGGCCCCACAACAACTGTACTAGAAGCCAGGGAGCTTCTAAAGGCCTGAGCAGGTAATCCTTCCCTCTTCACTACCCCTTACTTTAAATCTTCCAGATCGATCTCAGCGTTGTCCCCAGAGATGAGACGCTGAAGCTCAGGGGTAGAAAACATTCGGATCCACTCCGGCTTAATGATGGAACGGAAGCCACTAATGAGAGCAGCTGTCTGGTTTTTGATTTGAGTGTGCATTCGAAAATGTGCCATCAGATGGATGTAACTAATTCTGTTAACAAGAAAGAGAAACACGGAGCTAGCAGGCTAAGCACACTGCTGCCAAATGGGCTAAGAGCTAAGCCTAGTGCTCTGACCATTTCCAAAACACAGACCCAACGCATCTATGAGAACAGCGTTGGACCATCCATGATGGTACCCCAGGTCACACACTCTGTGCCACCACGACAGCACAAGCGTCTACGGCACAGCCTCACTCACTTGTCCCCCCAGCCCCCAACAGAACACCCTGGGGTGACCACTGATCTCTCAGGAATTGAAGAGCCATTTCATCAGAGAAAAGCTGCCTCATGTGCAATGCCACGTTCAGAGCTCCACTAAAGCCTGGAGGGTTAGATGGGCCCAATGTTTTCCAGAAATGCTGCTAGGTTATTGCTGGGTTCAATAGGGAGGTCAGATTAGCCAACACTGATGGGGCTCAGGGCCTCCTGTCTCATGCACACAGGTCCAGCCGATCTGAGCTCCAGGCTGATACTCCAGCCAGCTTACCAGCGTCGTTCATCTATTGGCAAACATACCCAAGCACAGTGTTAAAATTCCATGTCAAGTATAGCCCAGATGAATCTGTGTGCCTCACAATGCTAAAGCTACTGTCCTTGAAATAGTTCTAGTTTAAAAAGCATTCAGCAACAACATTATACGTTAAATAGTTATTTTTAACCTCTATGAAGGAGTTACTAATACTTGGTGTGTGTTAGAGACAGAAGCAGAAGGAAGCAGAGAGAGAAGCTTCACTACCAAGAAGCTAGGGATCAGGTTATCATCCCTGAAGGGGAGAACAGGCACGGCCAGGCCTCTGAGTCAAGTACAGGACTGAATACCTTTGCCATATACTGAAGCTTCACCATAGGCCAGAGTTTATGGCAGGGTAAGAATCATATTCCAGTCTAGCCTGCAAGGACTCACCTCCTCAGCCCTTCAGTGTACAAGGACTCACCTCCCCAGCTCTTCAGCGTACAAGGACTCACCTTCCCAGGTCTTCAGGGTGCAAGGACTCTACTGCCTAGCCCTTTGGCCTGTACAGATTCTTCTGGCCTTTTGGCCTGTGTGAACTCAGCTTTTCTGTTATTTGTCTCTTTCTCACATACATACAAATACATCACCCTTTGCTATAGCTCCAGGCAAAAAGATGGCTTCCCTCGTCTACAGGATATGCCCCACATCTGCTGTCAAAAAGTCTAGGCCCCCTTTTCAGCTAACTATCTCAAACGCTGTCTTACACAGTATTTCACAGCTGCCCTCTGAGGAAGTCACAGGCAGGAGCAGGACTCAGCCTCAATGCAGCAGAACTCAGGACTCAGGCTCAACACAGCAACTCTTCTCTGCAGGCAGCACTTTGTTCTATGTTTTCAAACCAATGCCCTGTGGCTAAGGGCAATGCTGATGGATTTCACCCTGCTGACTACTGTTCAGATTAAAACACAAAGCCCCCAGGCAACAGGCTGCCAGCCTAGCTGACCCAAGAGGAACAGGGTGCAGGCATGCTGCCCTGGGACCAGGTGACACACAGGGCCAGAGCCCTCGCTTGTCCCTGTTGAGATGAATGCTTACACAGACAGTTCAAATCTGAGTTGGGGTGGCAGAAAACTGACAAGAGGGCCAATGTCCCCTCCTCCTGCAGAGTCCTACCCTTTTAATCAGGCAGGGAAGCCTGGTGCAGACCCTGTGTTGAGGGGTTTGTTTGTGGGATCAAAAGGAGTGAATTTATGACATTACTGAAAGCACATTATCTGTGGCAGGAGCGGCTCCTTTAACTCCCGCCTCTAAGCGCGTTATCTGCTGCATCTGCACTCACACTCTGTCTCCCTGAGAACAGCCACACACAGTCATTCTACAGTGTCCCTGCTCGCCTGCCCTTAGGACAGCATGTCTAAACTGCTTAGGCTCCATCCATCCTCTCAGCAGGGCCATCACTACATCCCTAAGAACGGTGCCTCTGACCTTCCAAGGGCTTCTGCAAAGAGTAAACCATTCACTCTTATTTTGCAAATTGAATTTAATACAATTCCGGCCTATGAACAATACCAGAAAATTCCATTATGATGTTGATGGTCTTTTTCCTCTTCAATCTATCTTAATAAATTCTCAGCATAAGTCCAGAGAGCCAGAATGAAGTCTTTTTAAGTGCTGACTGTAAGCATCTAATTGCTGTACTCACTTATTTTCATTTGTAACAGGAATGGTCTTCCCTCCAGGAACCAGTTCATGGCAGACAAGCTGGGGAAGAAGACGAGGGTAATTACTAGAGAGAATTCGAACAGGAGACCAACGCTTCCCGAAAGTGAACTTGCCCCGAACAAATGCCCATGAGGAAGATGGAATCAAGATGCTACGTGTTTGAGACGGATCATTTTTCATAAAACCTCGGGGCTGAAACATCAACACATAGGCCTCATGTGAGCAACAGGAAAGGTTTCTCATCCAATCCTTGTCCAAACATTTGCACTAAAGGATGCTGGATGCCACAGAGGAAAACATGCTGGGATGAAGACAGCAGCGGGTGTGAACACCCACCCTTGGGAACACTGCAAGGCTACCTAAAAGTGTGCTAAGAGCAGGAACATACTGGGGGGGAGAGATTATACTGCAAGAGACAAGGAATTGTCTCTGCAGCACACACAAACACACGCGCGCACACACACACACACACACACACACGCACACACGCATGCACTTGCTCATGTGCACACGCAGGTGCACGTGCCTGTGGGGAAAGTCTAGAAAGACACGGGTCACATTCCAAGGCTGCACTCCAGACGCAGGCACTGCAGGTGCTTTACAGAGACCAAATAACCTCTGAGAAGACAGCTCTGCACCAACATGCTCATAGTTTCTCCAGAGCAGACCTCAGGCCACATGGACAGAAAGCCTCCCTTGGGGACACAGGAGGGGGCAGAGTCGTGGAAGAGTTGTGCCAGTGAGGGTGATGGAAACGGCTTCTGCCAGCCTGACTTCAGGAGCCTTTCCTCCTCTGCTCCCGAAATGTGAAATGGGATGTGAGCTCCCTAAAAGAACTCCTCAGGGGCTGCCTGCCCCTGCACACTGAGTCAGAAACACCCACGTATACCGGCCAACACTCACCATGGATTTCCACACTGAGACTCACAGCTTGCCACAAACTACAACAGGAAGGCTGGATGTAGGCAGATCCTGTCTCAAGTCCCAAGCTGTGACACAGGCAAAGCATGGGCTCCATGGGAGCTAGCTGAGGTGAGCATGCCAAGGCCAGGATGGCAGGGAAGAAACAGAAAACCCTCCCTCCTGGCCCGGTGACAGAACGATCCTCAGTGGGCAGCTTTCTGAGGGAAACCCTATGAGTTGGCTGCTCTCAAGACCAGAAGAAGCCTGCCAGATCAGCCCACATACCTGGCCCATGACGTCCTCATCATAAGATAGCGTCAGCCCGAGGTCAGCGATGTCTCCCTCATAGCGCTAACAGAAGAGAGAAAGCACTGAGGCTTGTACTGGTGAAGGTCTTCCCTCCTTGAGGGGACTTGGCTGCTACGCTGTCCCACTTTCAAGCAGAGGCCACTTGTTATGAGAACAGAATAGGCTGTGAGCCTCAGCTATGAGAGGGGCCTCAGGGGTGAGGTTGGGGGCTGCTCTGAGTCTCAGTGACAGTTAAGGTGTCACTGGGCTCTGGCTTCATGCCAGTGTTCTCGTAGCTACTGGACACTCAGCACTAACCTTGATAGAGGTGAGGTTTTTATAGAACTCCGAGTCCAGTGAAGGAAGCTCGTCCACGGAGCTATAGAAGATGCTGTGGTGGTGCCCGAGCATCTGGCTCAGGAAGAAGGAGGCAAACGGCACGTCAACCACGATCCCCTAGGAGATGGGAGGTCAGGGCTTGGCGTCAGCTCTGGGTGGCTTGGGCTGTGGGGGCAGCCTAGGGACACCAGTGCAGTCTAGGTATCAGTCTGGAGCTGCACTGCCCGCCACCTAAGAGATGACCTAGGAACTTTGGCGAGCAATGGTCGTGGGCACAGGTCTTGGAGCCTCAAAGCCCAGGGACGAGATCTCAGCTCAGCTGCTCAGGTGGCTCTCTCGACCTGGTTGTCCATGGCGGGGCATGTGAGGGACTCTCTTGAAGCCCACACTACCTTAACCCTACAAACTCAAGGTGCAGAAACCAACAACAATCCTGAGCCCCCAACCTGTTGCCAGGTATGGACCCCACTTATTATGGATGACAACTCAGGCACACAGTTTTTCTCATCCCTACTTTACTGATGAGGTGTCAGACTTACAGGAGGAAGGTAAGTCAGTTGGCCGCTATGCTGCTGGCTACATCTGTCTCTCTGTCCCGTTCTGCTAACTCCCAGAACTGTCTTCTTCTAACGTAGCCACTGAAGTAGTGGATGCCAGCGCTGGTGTGGCTTGGTGGCAAAGTGCTGACCTAACGTGAGGGTCCCCCTGACGGACCGTGCACATAGCACTTTATTTCTTTTCTTTTGTTTATTTATTTTTTAGATTTATTTATTTATTTTATGTATACGAATGGTCTGTTTATATGCACACTAGAAGAGGGAATAAGATTCCTTATAGATGGTGGTGAGCCACCATGTGGTAGCTGGGAATTGACCTTAGGACTTCTGGAAGAGCAGTCAATGCTCTTAGCCACTGAGCCATCTCTTTTTGAGATAGGGTCTTGCTACATATCCTAGGCTGGCCTCAAACTCAGGACTCTCCTGCCTGGGCTTCTGAGTGACAGGATTACAGGGCGTGCCGCCATGTCCGGCTCCCGGGTGTCGCTTCACACTTGCTCTATGCTCCTTTGAGCTCCTACCTCATACACGGCCTTTCCCAGCATCTTCCCCACAAACTCGAAGAGCTGTAGGTAATTCTCATGGATGTAGGATGTGGGCGAGGGGTACAGCCTCTCATCCCCGCTGGTTGTCTGCCAGGAGAAAGCACAGGGAGAGGTGGAAGTCAAGAGGCCTGCCTTTGCTCTGCAGTGGTTCCCTGTGTCTGGCTGCTGCCAGTCCCACTGGCGCCCCCTTGACCACCTTGAACAGGTTGAGCGCTGGGTCAAACACCCTCTTGATGATCTCCTCCAGAAACTCCTTAAAGACACCGTCCTGGTCAATCCCAGCTTCATCCACCCCAAGGTCGTTGACAAACTTCACTCGGATCACACCCTTCATGCCGTGCTGGGAAAGCTGCCGGAGCTGTTCATAGCCATCCTACCAAAACACAGTGTCAAACAGTGAGAAGCACAGTCATAACAGAGCCATGCAAGTCAGGACAACCACCCATGGAGGCTTCACTTGATGGGCTGTGGTGTCTCACTGCTTGGCATGAGGAGACTGCCCCCAGAGGACAAAGAGTTGGAGGAGAAATTAGACAGAATGAGTCATGCTAGCTCTGGCCATCACAGGAGGAGAAAACTGGGACAAGATGGGTGTCTCTCTTCCTCCTTTAATGCTGAGACTATCTCTTAGCTCAGGGCAGAGCCAGGCTTACAGGACATGGTAAGATGAAAATCCAGCGTCCTGGTGCTGAGGGTGACTGGGGGAAGAAGCTGGAGAAGTCAGAGCAGCCAGGCTGGCTTTCTGAACTAGAATGACCAGCCAGCAGCAGGGAGGGTGCGGCAGGAGACAGGCGGGAAGCCCAGCCCACGTGCAGTAGCAGTGCTGAGTCTGTGTGATCGTGGTGGGAGAGCCCTGAGCTTTGCTGGTGTGGGATGTGGCTCTGTAGCATGAATGGCAAGGTGTGCTTAGCCCATGCCAAGCCCTGATGTGAACAGAAGCCCTGGAAACCAAGATCAACGCATGCAGATAATGAGTGTGTGTCTCCGGTCCAGAAGCTCACATACACATTCCAAGTTTACTAAACCATATGTGCTGGCTAGTTTTATGTCACCTTGACACAAGCTACTGTCATCTGATGGGAGGGAGCATCACTTGAGAAATTGCCTCCATAAGATCTGGCTGTAGGCTATTCCTCAATTAGTGATGGGTGGTGCCACCCCTGGGCAGGCGGTCCCAGGCGCGCTAAGAAGGTAGGCTGAGCAGCCACGGGGAGCAAGCCAGTAAGCAGCACCCTCCATGGCCTCTGCATCAGCTCCTGCCTCCAGGTTCCTGTCCAATTTGAATTCCTGCCTTGGTTTCCTCAGTAGACTGATTTAAGACATGTAACCCTTTCCTCCCCAAGGTGCTGTTGGTCATGGTGTTTTGTCACAGCAACAGTGACCCTAACTAAGGCAGCTGCCTCTGGCTTCTTGTCTGTAGAGGTCTTCCTGGCATCTGACTGTCATTCAGGTTGTCCTGGTGTCACATTTAGCTAATATGAAGCAGACCACGTCCATGGCACCCACTCATCAATTCATGTGCTGTCCTGGTTGCCTTTGACACAAAGCCAACAGGCAACCTGGCAGCACAGCAATCCCTCTTCCTGTCTTCCTGTCATGCTTAGTGATACAGAAGTCTCTCTCATGTCTTTGCATCTTGTCAGGGACAGACTCAGGTTGCTGAGCCAGGGAAGAATCCCTTCTTAGTCTGCAGCCACCAGTAGAAGGAATAGGAAGGCAGCCTTGGGCACACCCATGAAAGGTGAGCACAAACAGTCAGAGCTGAGGCAAAACCCCTGTGAGCCTGAGACACAGAGGAGACCCTGCCTGGAAAACAAACACAACCACCCAACCGAGAACAGCCGAGACAGAAAAGGAGAGTGTTGCTATGCAGCTGCTGTGGCCGTGGAAGCAGTGTGAACTGGCATTCCTGGGCATGAGCGTGAGATGGGCAGAGGCTCCAGCGTTGTTGGTGCCTGAGGACTTCTCTCTCCAGCCTGTCCTGGGAGCAGGTCCATGCACTGTGGGGCGAACGGCACAGTCCTTAGCCAGCATGTGGTGGGGCTCAGGAAGATCTGCTGGATCTGAGCCACAGCAGCCTCTCAGGAGGCTGTAAGAGGAGCATGTCACCTGCCTCCTCGGCCGCAGGCCTGCCTGTGGGTACTGGTGTGGTTATGTGAGGGTTCCACATGCTCCACAGGACCGTCAGCATCCTCTCAGGCTTCCACATGCTGAAAAGCAGGACAGTGAGCTCTTACCTGCACCAAAGGGGCCTAGATTCAAAGCCTTGGTCTACACAGCCCCAGCTCCGCCTCTGACAGGGTGAGGAGCAAGTCTGAGTTTCCTCCAGTTCCAAATCACTGAAGACAGACTACACTCACCCTGAAGGGGGTGTTCCCGCAGGATGGAGAATCTACCAGAGGCTCGGCAAGCCAGAGAAGCCATGCATGCGTGAGAGTCCAGAACACCGAATCAGAGAGCAGCTTCTTGATGGTCCCCTTCACAGCAAGCAAAGGTCATGGGCACTCACACCACAGGCTCAGGAGAACCAGGATCATGGAGTAAACGAGCCTCTCTCAGTCTAACTCAGGCTCAAACCAAAGCATGTTTTCATGGACTGCAAATAGGAAAATGGGCTTTGCCTAACTTAAGAGAGACTATCTCCTGTGAAACCCAAGGGAGGAACCAAAAACCCCCTCACAGCACACAACGCAGTCCACAGCTTCCAGTTCTTCTAGGAGCTGGGTGCTGGCCATATCTGATGGAGGAGCACTGAGATTTCCAGAGATGAGGTGGCTATACCTGGTTCTCCCGAGGAACATGCCAGGAGACAGTTTTAACATAAATAAGCTTTTGGGTCAAAGCAGTGGCTACTACAGGGGCCGCAGCTTGAGATGAGTAGCCAACATGGCCTTCAAGATGCCTGACAATCTAATCAGTTCCCAACCTAACAGATCTGAAGCTTTAACAGAGAACCCTGAGTTTCTGATTCTTCTCTTGATTCAAAGCCCCCTGGAACCCACATGTCCACATGGCAAGTCAGATGTTGGCCGGTTGTGCATCTTTGGGGTGACTGACAGGCCACCCTCTTTTCCACCATTTCCCCAACACTGAAGGCAGATTCTGATGTGTTAACAGTTGCCTGCTCCCTGGTGGAGCTGTCTTCCCTAAGGAAGGCAGATGGCGAGGGCTATGTCTGAGAGCACTGGGTGGAGCAGTTCGGGTAGAGGACACTTTTTCTTGTTAGCACACAAACCAAATGCTCAGCCGGCCAGCTGAGCTCAAACATGACCTCTGTTTTCCGGTCAGTACTGGGGATGGTGCCCAGGGCCTCAGCAATGCTAGGTGGGTGCTACCACTGAGTCACCCCTCTAGATCTTACCTTTAAGGTAAAAACAACTGCTGCACACATTACCTTTTTAAATAGCTCTGGAATGGGAGCTAAAAGAAGCCACCCAACAAAGGTGGCATAAATGGCAAACATGCTGCTGGGCCACAGTACACACGGTGGCTGGTCATGTGGCTGTCACACACAGGCAGAACACACAAACAAGTATGGATAGAGCACAACGAAAGCCCTGAGGAGCGACACAAGGCAGTGAAGCCCAGCCCTACTAAGAACAGAGACTGCTGCAGCAGACACTCGGGGGAGGCTGTGGACGTGACCTACGGACATGTGTGGCGTACATCAGAGGCCACGGCAGTGCCCCAGCCATGGTCAGACTCTGTTTCAGGACTCTGTTTCACAGGGCACACAGCTGCGTGGCAGGCTTCCACAGCCCTCTCTGCTCACCTCAGAATGCACTGGACACCGTAACAATGTGACACAGAGGAGGGGTACTTAAGGACAGGCCGCCTACTGCTGACTTGTGAGGTGGCCACAAGGTGGAAGCCTGCAAGGTGGGGCTTGAGAGGGTAACATTACTTGAATCTCCTGTTGCATCTACAGAGGCCTTTGAGTCTGTGATGAAAGTTATGTGTCTGCAGCACATCTGCGAAGGCGAGGCTGGGGGAGCCCTGGCAGGACAGGGCAGCCAGCACAGACCCAGGAAAGGCAGGCTGTCACTTCACTGCACTCAGATCTTAATGCCTGTGCTTTAGCAGGGGCTCTCAGGGGGAGGGGGAGAGGGTGCGGGGGGGGGGCACGAAGAAGACACTGGAGATCCCCAGCACTGAGGACATACTACACTGAGCAGCTAGCTTCTCAGGGCAGCTGACTGGCTAAACACCCCCTTCCTGCTCTAAGAGCCTCACTTTGAGTTTTCATACCTACCACAGAGCAACAAGAGAGTTTTAAAGAGGTCTCCACTAGATCCACATGACACAGTGCTCTGCTCTGTGAGTGGCCACTCACCTCCAACATCCGTGACCTTCGGATAGTGATGTGGGTGACGTGAGGGGAGGCAGAGCTGGTTTCCACAAGCCCCAGCTTCTCTTTCTCTTTGGTAACCATGTTTCGGAACAGGAGCACTCTCTGAAAGGAGCAGAGGTGGGACCAGAAACAGACTCAAGAGATGTCAAAACAAAACAAAATCAGTCCCACCCTACAAAATGACCTTTCAAATAACCTAAGATTCAATGTAACTTCAGTTCCAGAGTACTGGATGCCTTCTTCTGCTCTCTGCAGACACCAGGCACGCATGGGGTGCACAGAAATACATGCAGAAAAAATATCCATACACACAAAATAAATCTAAAAATTTAAAAATGGGGCTAGTCCTAAAACCAGGGGCCTCCTTAAGTACAAGAGAGAACAGCAAAACCAAGTTGGGGGTGGCACAGCGTGCCCATAATCCCAGTACCAGGGGGGTCCTGTAGGGGGTGGGAGAACAGGTCAGGTCAGCCTGGGCTGCAGAGACCTACCCACCCTCAAAAAAACCTGCTACATGGTAAGGCAATGAGTTCAGTCACTACAGAAATCAGCAAAACTAACCCTGCAACTGCCTTCTCACCCAGCTATAGAACTTCTGGGCATGTACCTGAAGGAACGCAAGACACCGCACCACAGACACTTGCACACCCATGCCTTTTGCTGTACTCTTCACAACAGCAGAATACGGACCCATCCATGGACTGACACAGAACAATGCAATTCTATCTAGCAGTCAAGAAGAATGCAATCCATCATTTGCAGGGAAATGGGCAGATGTGGAGACCATCATCCTAAGGAAACTCAGCCAGATGTAGATGAAGGAATTTTCTCTCACATGTGGAGTCCAGATTTAAACGTATAAACCTATGTGTATGACATGAAAGCAGAGCAGGGACAGGTAGGAAAAGAGGGAAAGGGGAGGAGCAGAGGCATCGAGGGGAAAATATGAGCAAAGTACAACGGTGTGTGTGTGTGTGTGTGTGTGTGTGTGTGTGAGTGTGTGGTCTCTCAGGAGGCCCCTCCTTCCTAAGGGTCTGTCAATGAAGCAAGAGTCTAAGCAGCCACATCACTTGCTCCAGCAAAACGAAGAGTGACTCAAAGTGTGAGGTCAAGGTCAACCAGCAGTGTGGACTCAGTACTTCTAAAGAGTAAGACTTACAAAATTTTGTTTTTGCTTTTTGTCTAAAAAAAAAAAAAAAAAAAAAAAAAAATGTATCTATTGGGGGAGGCAAGCAACGGGTCCTTTTGTGAGGGAGCACGGTGCTGTCCATGTAGGACCTGAGAAGTGTCTTCCAGCATCCCAGATGCTTCCACTCCGGTACCTGACCCTTCCCAAGGAAGTGACAACGCATCCCTGGCTCTCTTCCATCTCTCTTCTTAGTGCCCTGTGATGAGTCCCTGGACCCCTCCCTCTGCCCTGGTGCCCTGCAGTAGATCTGTGATCCCACAGGCAGCCGCAGCCCCCTCCTTCACTGCTCGAAGACCTGCTTTTGTCTGCTTCTCTAACCAGGTGGCTCTTCCAGGCCAGAAACCCAGCTTCTGCATCCAGCCCTTTGCTCTGCTGAATGTAACCTCTGGACTCGGCCACCTGTTTTCTGGCTCGACAGCTGTGCCCAGCCCGTGTTGGTGTTTTTGCGTCTATGCAGTCCTCACACACTGGCCAGAGCCCTCTCTCTTTAGCACTGCTCTGACCAGGCCTTCGCTTTGGATTAGCCTCAGGTCCTACGCTTGCCTTCTAAGACGCTGGCTTTATTCCTGACTCCATCCTCTCTCATTCCAGGCCCTGGAGCTCTGCCCCCACTTCTCTCTGACTTTCAGCAGAGTGGATGCCCACTTTTCCTGACTTAGAGTAAACTTACTGACAAGGTGTAGATGAGACCAAAGGAAAGTGACTTTAAATCTCCCACACAGTGGGTCTCAGACCTCACACAGCGAACTGCAAGATCTAAACTGACTTCCAAGTAATGAGAAAATGCATCCATGGGAGATTGTTGACAGCAGCGGATTTTTTAAAAAGATTTATTTATTTTATTATGTATACAAAGAGGGCACCAGATTTCATTATAGATGGTTATGAGCCACCATGTGGTTGCTGGGAACTGAACTTGTGATCTCTGGAAGAGCAAGCAGTGCTCTTACCCTCTGAGCCATCTCTCCAGCCCGACAGTTGACTTTGTAATTAGAATGATGTTTCACTTACACAAATCAACTAATTAGTGCGAGTACACTGCACGTGTGTGTGAGCACACTCCATGTGCTGTGTGGAGGTCATGGGGATAATTTCCACCGTGCATGGAACCCTCTCTTGACCCCTTGTCCTCCCCGGTGGCTCAACAGACCCACGTGCTGGGACTTGCAAAGCACACACCCTGTGTCACCTGACTGCACGCTGCCTCCTCTGTCTGTGCACCCAGAACTCGGCACAAGCTCCCTGAGTAACAAAGGTCACCACAGCGCGTGTGGGACGAGTGATGCCCCACAGACTTTTCCTGTCTTAATGCAGAGGAGCCAGAGACCACGAAGGGACAGAAGGTGCTGCATCAACTCACGTTCTTATGAGGGACAACATGGGGGATGTGCTGCAGGACCAGCTGGGCCCTCTTGCGGTCCTTGTCAAGTTCCTGGAAGAGCACGCCAGGCTTGAGATCCCTTCAAGAGAGAGACACAGGTGTGGTTGCTAAAACCAGAAAAGCCTTCTTTAGTGCACAGCCAGCATTATAGGGCATGTGTCCCAGTGTCGGCTGCCCACTTTCATAAGTGTTATGAAAATCTGGCCACAACTGCTCATTCCTATATGCTCGCCTGTGGCACGGCAGAGGGAGTGCTGGGGTGGAGGCTGTCTTTATGGCCAAGTCCGTGAGGTCCTGTTCTGGTGCCAGAACTGTGGCCATTTCATGAGATCTGACGGGTCCCTGCCAGAAATGCCTACATGCTGTCAGAGGCTCCCAATCTGGGGGCAGTTTTCACCCCGGCAATTCTGCTGATAAAAATCCCCATGAAACTATCACACTCTGTTGATCAGGTCAGCTGAGAGAAGCTCTCTTCCCAGCCCAGATGAGACATGACCTGGCTTTGTCACCATCCATTAACTAGACTGACACTGGTGGGACAGAAGGGCTGCCAAGTGATACACCAGACAGGTGCTTTACAGAACAGCAGTTCCTTCAGAGTGGACGGGGTGCACGAGGGGAGGAGGCTCATCACCCTAAGCACAGATGCAGAGCACCTGGGCACCCGTGCTGCAGGTGGTGAGGGAGGATGCGGCTTGGAAGCCCGTCCCAGCCCGTGCTCACTTTCGCAGCCAGTGGTCCTCAGGAGCAAAGCGCCTTCGGCAGTCTCGCTCATACAGCACCATCAGCCACCCGTGGACAGACTGGAACAGCTCCAGGGTCTCACCCTTGGCGTTCTCTGTGCAGCAAGCAGGAGGGGGTCAGAGCTGGTCAGAGGGCAGCTCCCAGGTGCTCTGACATCAGTGGAGCCCCAGGCTCTCTGGGGGTGTTCTATTGTCCTTGGGGCCTGGCTATCTTCTTGGGAAGTCGCCCAAGCTGCATCCCAAGCGTGCACCATCCAAAGGCCCTTTTCCTCTACCAGCAGAGACATGCCAGACGGTAGACCTGCCCACAGCAGGAACGGACACAGCTCCGGTTCCATGGGGATCAAATCATAGATGTAAAGGGTGTTTGGTGGCAGCACTAGTCACTAGTAACAGTCCCATGTGCACAGCCTGAAGGAGCGGGCAGAGTGAGCCCTTTGCCAGCACACTTCCATCTTACGAGCTTATCTAGCCACGTGGGTGGACGTGCATTCTCTAGCTGAGGTATAGCTGAGGGTACAGACTGACCTCCTGGGGTGGCATCAAAGAACAGTGGGCACCTTCGCCTTACCTACAATTCCATCCCAGATCATCTTGAACACAAAGGAATTGAGGAAAGAGGAGATTGTGACCAGTTCTTCCAGCTTGAATGAGATTTGTTCTTCATAAACTTCAATGTCATCGAGGATGCTGCATGAGGCAGAAAACTGCTCAGAATTTCCCACTGAGAAGGGGAAACAAATGAGCCCTCACTGTCATCTAGACAAAACTAACAAACAAAGGCAAGAAGGTACTAGCTTTTCTAGACATATCCTGTACAACTTGCAGACACACATGACATGAAGTCGAAGATCTGCCCCACAGTTAAACCAGGGAGGAGGAGCTTTTTGGGCTTTAAATGAAGCAAGGCTGGCCATGAGCTGGTAAGGGTGTTGAGGGCTCTATCACCTTCCTACCTTCTGTTTACTTGAAATTGTTCAGAGTAGGAAGATAGACTAACTAGGGGAAAACACTGGGTTCTACTCAGGGCCTTTCCCAGAGAGCGCCTGCGGCAGTGTGCATCGTGCTCTTCCAGGCCTGAGAACAAAGGGATCTTGAATCACTCAAGGGCTTCTTGAGGAGTGCTATGAAACTACCCCACATCTAGGAGAGACCAGTGGCATTTAGCGCTTGTGAGCAAATGAATGTTTGAAAATATGTATGAGTGAATGAGTGACTGGCTGAGTGAACGAACACATGGCACAGCTAAAGCGAAAGTTTACAGAAGCCTCTCCACATTCTTTACAATACAGCTCAGTGTTGGGTTGGCCTGGCCTCAGCCTTTGGAGTGTTTATCCGGTCACTAGACCCTTTCTCCCAGCTACATGTCACTGAATGTACAAGGTCTTCTAGTCTGAACACAGTTGCTTGAGGTCCATTCTAGAGCTTTCCAGCCAACTCTGGGAAGCATGAAAGATGGACAGCAGCAAATGAAGACGGGAACACAGGACTCTGGTGAATGTCCCAGGCTTATTTACTCTTTGAATGGTAGGTGGAGTCGCCTCCACTCCACCGACGAGGAAACGCCGCTCAGCAAGGTCGGCCAGCTGTCTCCAGACAGCTTGCTGCGGGCTAGGCACCAGCACTAGTTAATCTGTTAATCCCCACACACGCTTCGGTAGGGAAGGCTGGGCTGCTTCCTGTTACTTCCATCTACTGGCCTGGGTTCTGCACCTGGTGTCTAAGTCTGGAAATCGCCTGTAAATCTGCTTACCAGTGAATAATTGGCTGAGGTGTGATCTGAACACATCTCCAGAGACCCCGAGAGCCCACAGCAGTGCCCTGAAAGTACCTAACACCTGCTGAACACCTGGCATCTGCTTTGTGAATGTCTTCTTATCTACTTCTCTGGTGGGAGGTGCAGAGGGTTATGGGTTCTTGCTGTGTTGCCTAGGCTGGCCTCAAACTTAGGAGCCTAGTAACTTCTGCTTCAGCCTCCTAAGCAGCTATGATTACAGGTATGTATCACCATGGCCAGCTCTTGGCCAGTTCTTACATGACCCCACCACACAGGTGCAGTTACTTGTTTCCCTGAATTGCTGATAGCCAGGGCATTCAGCCCCTATCAACCTACGTGATAAGGTGCCGTGAGCAGTCACAGAATAGCATCAGCATGGCCAGGAGCTGCTTGGACTCTCCAGTGTCATTGTTCAGGCACTCCAAGAAGAGCTTTAGCCCTCCATGGGGCCCCAGCTCACAGATAAAAGCCCACAGCTTAGGCAGCAGGTCATCAAGGTACGTAAGACCTGGAAAAGGAGAGAAACCCAAGCTTCAGGTGTGGGTGCCAGCTGGTGTGCTATTTCTTCTTCTCCAGTGGAAAAGACTTAAACCAACATGCAAGAGAAGGTGTGAGCACCCCGAGCGCCCCAACAGCAGGGGCAGCTCCACTCTGCACGGCTCTGAGCAGAGCCCAGCACAACTCCGCTTTCTAAGTGGGCTCAGTTACTGCCCCTCGCCCATGGCTGGGGTAAGTGCCAGACAAAGAACCTGGGTCTATCTGACGCAGCCATGTTTTTAAATCAGGAAACCAGCTAAACTCAGAGTGTATTTGTAAGAGTTGTAGGCCAGGCAATCTCTATTTTTAAAAGCTTGAGACAAATTAAGTTATCAGAGTCCCTGGACAGTGGTGGTGCATGCCTTTGATCCTAGCACTCAGGAGGCAGAGGCAGGCATATCTTCACGAGTTTGAGGCCAGCCTGGTCTACTGAGCTAGTTCCAGGACAGCCAAGGCTACACTGAGAAACCCTGTCTTGAAAGACTAAAAACCAAAACAACAACAAAACTGAAAACAAAACCCACATACAGAAACAGAGCAAACATACATTATACTGGGCAAAAATAATAGATCTTACTGAACAAAGGAAGAAAGCAACTGTCCCTAGAAGCAAGAGCCTCACGGGTGAACGCAGGACAGGGCATACTGGGGGTGGGGCAGATGTGGCTAACAGTGAGGGGAAGGTACAGGACAGCTTTCCTGCTGTGACACCACACCACCTCTGTGCCAGAGTAGAGATGACAGCTACAACAATGGGCTCCGTACCATCTTAGTCTCAAAGCATGTGGGCAGACATTCGGTTTCAGGCTTGCACACAGGAAAGTTTTGTTGTGCGATCCCTTAAAGAGACAGGGATGGTAACATCTGAACCCTCCTCCAAGAACCTCTGAGGTCCTGGGTGGCAAATGTCAGGTGGCCTCTGCCCTGCTCTCCTCCCAGTGGTGTCTTCTGGGGACTTCCATGGCCTTCCCCTGCCTCCATCTCAGCAGGGAAGCCACGGAGGTAACCCGGCCCCACAGCTGGTGTAACCTCTAGTCCTCAAATACAATGTGCCAGTGAGAACTACAGATGTATCTGTAAACACCTGAAGCCCGCCTGCTCTGTCTCTGTCACTGCTGCTATCACTGGAGTGACCTGGTACCACCTGGGCATGGGGAGGAAGTCTAGCTCAGGGTACCAGCCTACACTAGCAGACTGCCTTTCCAGAGACTGTGCAGCCATCAACAGAGAAAGGCGAGGCACTCTGCTCTCGTCCGGCCAATGGCCTGTCCCACCTTCACCACTGTTTTGCTGCAGGCTGCAGACTACCGATCTCACTGACTCTAGACCACAACCCAAGAACAGACCCTGGCAGTCTTGTTTACCTTGGTATCCTCAGTGCCCTGCACAGACAAACCTCCGTCTGGAGTGAATAAATAAGTGTTAAGGACAGAAGCAGCAGCTGTGGAAGACTTAAAGACACATAACATAGCAGAGTTTATATTCCTTTCTGAAGCACGCAGCTTGCCCAGCTAGAAGGACCACCTTCATTCAGAAGATCAACTCCTATCACAATGCCTGGGCTGTCCCTTAAAAGCCCTTGACTCCCAATTCTATCCTTATAGAAGGGGCTTTCTTGCTCAGCTGAAAAAGAACATGCTGGACACATCCATGCGATGAGTATCTTTGAGGTGCGAGGAACTGAGTGATGGTCAACGCTAGTGAGTGATGGGCAGGGAGGGGTAAGATGAGATGAGTCTGTCTATGCACACCTACACTGGCTGTGAGCACGCTCGGCAGACGATTACCACTGGAGTGTGCTGTTTGTGTTCTTCCTGTCTCCTATCTTTGTGTCCTACTCAAAAAAAGAGAACTGTAAGAAGTTGTACTTCCTAATTAAAGAACCAATAAGAGGAACAAGCTGGCAGTGCGATGACCAAGGATGGCCTGAACTATCGGGGGCTTACCAATGTCTAAGAATAGCTCAACATGTCCACCTGCAGAATCTATTTTCTGAGTCAAGCAAGCAGAAAGAAAAGGCCACTTTTTCTAGGAACAACTAACTGCCCGCCGACTCTGAAGTGGGAGCAGGGCTGGGCTCTCTCACCTGTGAGAATCTGCAGGCGGATCTGGGTGAGGGTAGTCAGCGAGGTCTGGTAGAGCACACAGATGCTGCAGACCTTCTGCACCTCAGCGGAGTCCACGCGGCGGCCCCCAACAGGCCTCAGGATGTTCCGAACTGAAGCTGACTTCTGAAACGCTCGCTTGAGGAGACCTGGCGTGGAGGGAAGAAGACGCACAGAGCTCAGCCACCTGCCAGCTCCACCTGTCAAGGAAGGGTACTGGCGAGAGCCCCAGTCACAGGCAGAGGCTGCAGGGCTGCGGCATGCACTCAAAGCGTTCCTTTGGGACAAGCCGGGAAGATGCGAACACTGGGTTTTCAGCGCAGCCCAGTGACCCCTTCAGGTTACCACAGTACTTTTCAGCATAAGTCTGGCATGTTCACCTCTGACATGCCATTCTCCTACTGTATCACCAAATTTTAAGAACACAAAGGGGAAATGTTGGGAACGTGTTGGAGGGGAGAGGAGAGGTAGGAGCTGGGCCCAGGCACTGTTTCTGTGTTTTAGAGGGAGGGCAGCAGACACCCTCAGGCCCTGAGTCCTGGCTGAACGGCATTCCACTTCAGCCTTTGGCTTTCCTGTTCACGGGCAGCTGAAGCCGAAGAGTAGAGCTCACACTCACTGCCAGCATGAATGGCACAATCATCACCCACCCCAGGTTAGCAGTGTAGGCAGAAATCTTCCCCTTGACTGTGTTTACAGCAGAACAAGAAGCCTTTCTTTCTAGGGTGCCCACCCTGCATAGGGTATGGCTGAGGTGCCACCTAGCCTGTGCCCCAGTGGCTCCTTGGAGGAGTTCTATGTGGGAAGTTTATGACTAAACTCAGAAAAGCTTAAGTCCCCTATAAAATGGACTTTCTGCTCCTTCCTGATAATAAAAAGAAAGGGTCCACAAAGCCCTTTCCCTCTCGCTATCAGGAAGTCTACAGCCAAGCTGAAGCTCAGAGCCAGCAGAGAGAGCCCCTGAGCACACTGGCTGCTTCCTTCTGTTTCACTGGTTCTTATTTCTATTCCATGACCCGTCCCTGTCTTGCTGAATGTGGCCCTGCAGATGGTGGAGGCGAGTGGTGAGCGGGCAGTGGGGAATTCACACAGGAAGGAGGAGCTGCCTCTCTCCAGGCGTAGGCACTCACTCTTCACTGGGAGCACGTTCTGTGGGGATGACGGTTGGGCAGGGGCTGGCTCCGGGTGCTCCAGCAGCTTCTTGCTGAGGATGTCACTGAAGAGAATGCGGATGAGCGGCACCCCCCACAGGAACTGCAGCTGCTTGGTGATCAGGTACATGGACTCGTTAAGGCTAGGACAGAGCAGCAGACAGGTGTGTCAGTGCCATCCACTGTCTGCCAGGGAGAGCCCTGCTCCCTGCCCTGGTGACCCTCTAAATAGAGGGCACTCAAACACAGAGGCTAAAGAGGAACAGAGTGGATGGGTCACAGGCCTGTAACCCAGTGCTCAGGAGGCTGGAGGATGCAAGTTAGAGGCTAGGTTGACCTGCATAGAGAACTTTTGTCTAAAAACCAACCACCCAACCAGAAAAATCCGAGGGAATTTCTTGTGAAAGGAAGCAGAATAAGGAACCTGTCACTGAGGGCTGGGTATGAAAAAGCACCCAGTCTGTACTTGCCTATCACTCAGGCCAACCTCCCATGCTGCCTTCCCTGAGGTGGCCATCTTAGGCCTGCCCTCCTGCCCTGTCAGACAAATGCTGTCTCCTGCCAGCTGCACTGCTCTTTCTCTCAGCTGGTCCAGCACCTCTATGGTTCCATACTGCCACAGTATCTCCTTGCCTCAGGGTGCCTCTCCACTGCAGGCTGTATTCCCAGAATCACCAACTCCTAGACTCCATCAAGACCCTAGCTGGCTCCCATCAACTTGTGGGAACAGCCACAACCCACTGAGCATAAACCAGGCCCTGGCATGCAGTATCAAAACACCAAGAGAATGCTATCAGAGTCCAGAATTAGGTAGCCACAGACAATCTTAGCAGAGGCATGAGGTCCACCACCCCAGATTTCAGATGAGAACACTGGGGCCGAGAGGGTGTCTTAAAGGCCTTCAGGGAACAGTCTAGCACTAAAGCAGGACAAAGCCGCCCTCGATGGGGGCTTCTGCCCTCATGCCCACTACATGTGCTGTTGCTCTCCAGGTGGGTACCACACAGGAGTGGCCTTCCTTGGCAATGTCCTTTAATATGTCAGGTCTCAAGGGTGTTACTCAGGTACAAAAGGAGGAGGTAAACTCCTGGTTTACCAACAGGGAGCAGCGGAACATTCCAGATGCCTCAGCCCGATGCCACCCGAGGTCACACACTTCTGTCTGTGCAGCCGCCGACTTCACCTCTGCCCTTGCACTCTTGCCTTTCTAATGGTTCTGAGTTTATGACATTCATATCTACCTCATGGAATGGTCTGGGGGCTCCTATCCCTTTAAATCATTTGCCCTACTCAGCATCAACAAGGCATGGCTGCCTTGTCAATCAATGAAAGTGATACTGAAGAAGAAAAAGTATCATGAACAAGGTTCACAATTTACTAATTAAAAAAAAGTGAAAAACATATGATCTATCTCTTTCTCTCTAAAAAAAAAAAAATCAGTAAAGAACAAGAATGAAAGGCTGACCACTCAGATCATTTTACATATGAGGATTAAGGGCTATTTAATGTTCTCTTGGCTGTGGAGCTTGAACCCAGGGCCTTGCACATGCTTCAGCCCTCTGTTGTAGAGGAATTTTAGTCCAGAACCATGACTCTTGTGGCAAGGGATCACATGTGATCCAGCTGGAATGCAGACATGCCATACACCTTTAATCCCAAACAATGAAGGTGAAGTTAGTTTGTAGAAGGAAACACCCATGTTTGAAAGTGATGTCTAATTGAGAGTCAAAGGGAGAAAGATTTGACAGAATGAGCCAGGATAGGATACATCCAACTCTCACCAGAAGAGACAGGAAAAAGATGACTTAAGAGCAGGGAAGAGGAAGAGATGGGGGGGAAGGCAGTTTTACCAGGACAGTTGTACAGAAACAGGTTAAAGAGAGAACGAGCTAGACACAGGTGAAGACAGAATGAGCCAGAGAATGAGAAGGAGCCAGAAGATTAGAACAGATTGCCAAAGTTAATATGAGGTCAAGCAAAACAATTCAGTCAGAAGCTAAGAGAAGCCAGAATGAATCAGTCAGCTAGGAGAGGCGTCTGAGCCAGAACAGCTGAGTTGAATCAGGCAGTCAGAGTTCAGAAAAAATTAGAAAGAGTGAGCTAATTCAGCAGTAAATCTCAGAGCTGAAAACATTCTAGGCCTAATATTAGATTGTATGTAGGCTAGAAGCTTCCAGGACTAGGCCTAGATTAGCAGATGGAAGCAGTAAGCATCTGAGATAACATTTACATCTGGAAAATATAAGTTACCTTAAACATCTACCAGTAAGCCAAATCCCCAGGCTACATCTATGTTATACAATAAATACGGATTATTTTTATAATAAAACAAAATCATTGGAAGACAACACGAGGTGGGAGGGAGGCAAGGAGGTGGGAGGTGGAGGAGGCAGGAGCCTCTCTCCGGGACATACCCGTAATCCACAGACTGGGAAAACCAGCCGAGCACAGGGTGCCAGTGGGTCAGGTTGGACTTCTTCTGGGACACGTACTTCTGACAGTAGCACAGCATCTGTGTGAGCAAGCTCACAAACCCATCTGTTTCCTCCTCTAACACCTTAGGGTTGAGGGAGCCCAAGTGTAGCAGGTTGCCTACAAAGAAAGAGGGCTGAACATGACAGCCAGACAGCTGCGCTGCAGGACATCCCAGCTCTGCAATCTGCCTGAGGCACAGGAACTGTGTCTTCATGTGAGGGATTTCTGTCAGGGGCTACAGTGGCAAGAACCAGGCCTACCTGACTTTAAATCACAGTGTGGCCACATATAAGCCACATAGCTTTCAAACCACCTGAAATGGCTTCCTTATCTGTAAAGATGCCCGCCTTCCTATGGCAACCCTAAAAAGACACTGGACTGCCAGGCACACAGAGGGACGCGATACCCAGCATCACATTTTAATAGGACAGTAACACTTAAAAAACTAGAGGAACACAAGATGTGCATCAGCTAAATGTCCTGGGAGATGGCTATATTTGGTGTTTACTGAGGTACTCTCTCCCTAGGGTCCAGCCGAAAAAACACAAATGCTGTAACCAAGGCTAGCTTGACTGGTCCAAGGGTGGCAGACTCTAAAACCAGCTCTATCCAAACGCTCTTCCTCAGGCACGCAGAGCTAGGTGTCTGCCCTGTGTCCAAACGCTTCTGCTCCCATCAAAACACTGACACAATGAGGTGGCTCTGCTCTGAGCTACGATCTCCTCCCTTTTAGGAAAGGACTCTGAAGCCAGCTCACCACACAAGCATCCACGTGTGGCTCTAACTGCTCATCTATCTGCTCTGTGGAGAAAGCTAATGACCTTCACAAACATGAGGGCTTTCCCCAAGGCCATAACCAACCCAAACCCAGCCTCCTAGACTCACCCATGAGACACAGGGTATGGCAGCCTTCTAAACTTTCACAAGCATCGTGGCATCGGTCTCTGTCTCTCAGGAAGACGATGAACTTGCGAAGCATGTCATGGGACTCTAAAACACCAAGACGCTACAAGCAATGGCAGACAGTTAACACGGGGCCAGGCAGGGCTTTTCCGTGAGGTGCAGGCCTGACCAGTGCTTGTGTCCTCACTTAGGCAAGAATACTGCTTTCAGGGACCAGGGACAGAGAGGATAAGAACAGGAAGCTGCTCTTTTGTCTGGTCACAGGAACATGTCTATACCAGCTACTGGAAAGCTGGTGGGGGAGGAGTGGGAATGGGCAGAGGTACTGCTTTGCTTTTGGAGTCCAGCAAACCAGAGACAGAATTGGCATGCTTACCTCGGGGGTCACTGTGCTGAGGTGAGTCACGAGAGCTGGTACCGACATGATGTGGATGACAAAGGGCCGCATCAGATTGTCTGAGAACTGCGCAGCAACTACAGGGCTAGACAGAGAGAGTGTGCTAGGACAGGCGAGCACACGGGCGCCACAGGGTGGGCGCTGCACAGATGACACGGGCTGCACAGCTAGGAATGGTCAGTTCTGAAGTGACTGGCCTGAGAAAATGCCTGGAAAAAGAAAATCCGTGCCTGGCACTTCACACAGGCACCTGGAGATTCCAGCTTGACCCAGATCAGTACAGTCGGGGAGAAAGGCCCCAGGCAGGCCACAGAGGCACAGACCATAGGCAGGCATGCCTCCCCTCCACCAGCGAGAGATCAACAGAACTCTTCTCTGGATCTATTGCTCTGCAGCCATCTCAGGTGATAAGTTGGCTGTCCCACAGAAACCTGATGCAACTGTGTGGTTAACAAGGCTAGACATGGCAGAGAGCTTATGGGAAAACCAGGCCGGAGAGGGCAGGGGCAGGGACAGGGAACATAGGAACCAGACTACTGAGCTACAGCAACGAACCTGGGCTACAGAGGGACACAGGGAACAGATGCTCTGCTGGCCTGAGAAATAACACATTTGGGAAGGATCCTCTGTGCCATCTACCCAAGACATACATATTGTTCTTAGGATAGAAGTGTCTCTACTGCCCCAGGCAAGCATGAAAATATGGAGCTGTGTGGGCTCTCGAGTCAGACTGATTAAGATTTGTTTCCTAGCCTGACCTCTCCCTGCTGTGTGACCGAGAGTAAATATTTTGACCTCTCTGGGCTTTAGGTTCCTTATTTGTAAAACGGAGCTAAGAGACTGTGGTAGGGAATGAACCAATGGGTTTAAGAAGCCCTAGAAGAATGTGAGGTCATGATTTCCAGCTTCTGGAGGACTTGGCACTGGAGGACCTAGCACTTGATGATTTAGTATGTCACATCTTCCAGGATTTTCACTACATTCCTGACAATGGCAACACTGCACATGTTTTTAACTTTATTTATTATTATAGTTTGTGCACACGTGTGGGTGGATCAGCTGAGGGCTGGGGTCAGAGGACAATTTTGTGACGTCCTCTCCATCTACCTTTGTGTTGACTGTTGGGCCCATGTGAGTGCCTTTCCCAGGAAGCCATCTCGCCGACCCTGCATCTTATTTTAAGTTCCTGATGGTGCTCACTGGTGTGCAGAGACTGCAGGGAACACCACCAGAGGCTCCGGGGCAGCCTGGCCTTCAGCAGGGGTCAGTGGAATGCACCAAAGTACAGGCCCAGCAGAGTCTGCATTTGCTTTGTGTTGTTTCCTAATGGGGTCCAGGGTGTCCCAGGCTGCCTCCATCTCACTATCTAGCCATGCCCGATGACTCTGAACTCCCAGTCCTTCTCCTCTACCTCCTTACAGGCATGTGCACCACACCCGGCTCCTGTGATCCTGGGGATCAAACCCAGGGTCTTTCTAGCTCAGCCAACTGATGATCAGGTGTGGGAATGATGGAAAGCTCCACCTGAACCACCTGTCTGTCCACACAGCGCCTGCCCTCCCACTGCAATGACAGGAGCTGTCACAGAGGCTGAGTAGCCCACAGAGCTGGAGCTGTTTGCCTTCCAGCCCTTTCAAGAAGACTCCAACACAGACTTGGCAATGTCACCATGCAAAGGGGCTCCACAGAAGACAAGGCTGGAAATGAGAGCCAACATACGCACAGGTAAGGGGCTCCATGCTCAGACACTGGGCTAAAGAAATCCAAGGGGCCTGTGAGAACCCAAGCCTCTGGATGCTCGGCACTGGACTGTGCCAGATATCTACTGGAGGAGGCACGATAGGCTGCTCATCCTGAGTGGCTTGGCAATGGTGCCCTTTCTCCCAGGACCAGTTACCAAACTCTTTCCGAGTCAGTGATCCTCTCAACAGACTACAAATACTCTAAAGCAGTTAGGAATGCAGCTTCCACCCTTGGCAGTTCTTTGAACTGTAGGTCTGCATTCTCTAAAGAAGCCTTTCGAGTTTACACCCTCACATGCTCTCTGAGGCTTAGCTCCAATGCCAGTACCTCCCACCTGTGCGCCCCTCCCGCCTCTGGACCCTCCTCCTGACATGGGCTGGTCCTTCCTTTACTCTTAGTAACTCAAAAAACAAAACAAAACAAAACAAAACAAAAAAACAAACATACAGCCACTAGCAGAATGAACCCAATTCACAGTCAATCACTTCCCTCAGATCACGAGACAAAAATACTCGCACACACTGAAGGCAGAGGGAAAGTGTGAATTGTCACAAAATGTCACTTTCACTAAGATGAACACTTCCTGCAAATTCTGACAGGCACCAAGAGGGGGGGAGGGGAGTGCTGGGGCAGCTAGCTTCACAGAGGCTTTCTTACCGCAGTGCCAGGGAGAAGGCCGCTGTTAAAGTGCTCTTGGACAGACAGGGCCGGGCTCTGGCCAGGCCTCGGGTCAGCAGTATCTGAAAAGAACAGTCAAACTGTCAGGGGCCAGGGCATGGTGGCGCATGCTTTAATCCCAGCACGACAGAGGCAGAGGCAAGAGGATCTTGAGTTGTTCCAGGCCAGGCTGGTTACACAGTCGACCCCTTCTCAGACAAAACAACACAAAGGAGCAAACACATAGAAGGAACACTTCAGATAAACCCTGCATCAGAATGGAGCTTGAAAGGAAGGAAGCTTCTGGGTGTGGAGGTACATTCTGCTCATCCCTGCCCCAAATATTATGCTGAAGCATTTTCATAATGAACAGCCAAGAAAATGAGTATCTGTGTGCTGGGTGTAGTGTGCCCCTGTAGTCCTGGCCTCCTGGGGTTTGAGCACAGCAATCCCCAAAAACAGGGAGTGAAAAAGTCCATGTCAAACATGACTGAAGCATAGTATCCACTGATCCAGCCAAAGGCAACAGTTGACACCTAAATGTTTTGCCACCAACTACCATGTTGTGGAAGTGTGACAATGAGCTGGTAGTCAGCCCACCCAGCACTGGGCAGAAGGAAGAGGCAGATCAATGTTCCTTTAAATGCCCCAAAGGCCCATGGTACCCCTCAAGTGCAACGGGCTTCTCCCCACTCTCCAGCCTGAGACTTGGCATCACATACGGGATAGTGAGAGGGTCATCTCAAGTAGCTGAGGAGGAAATACACCAACCCCTCCACAAAGAAGCTGGAAGAGCCCTGGGGCCTCCATCCGAGCCAGCAATGTCAGCCACAGCCATTAGACAGGACATTCTAGGGGCTCAGTGGCAGTCCTCCCACCAAGACCACAGCGACCAGAAGGGAGGGAAGAGGACACTGTGCATTCAACTCTTCCTGCAAAAAGTTGTCTGTGAGGAGGACGCAAGGCATATAAACCCACAGAAAAATCTAATTCAGGTGTCACAGACCTGCAACACAGAGTAGAATCCATGCTGGTTCAGATGGCCCATTATATTTGCACAGATGTGGTTTAGGGCTGGCCGAAGGCTCTCACCTAAATGAAGAAAACAAATTGAGAAGACAATCTCTTGCCACAATACAACCAGTTTATACTGGTCAGAGGACCTGGCCTCGGTGGGGAGGGGATGGACGACTAGGAAGGTGTGGAACTTAGCTGTACGGAAGTGGAACTCCACTGGAGGACATGTGTCCCAGGGTGGCAGTAGGTTTTGGATTTTATACCCCCGGCCACTTTCTGTCCCCTCTGCTTCCTGCGTACAGATGAAAGGTTCCCCATGCCACACCAGTCAGTCCCTAGCTCCTGCTGCCAACCTTTCCCTGCCATGGTGGACTGTACTCCAACCCCAACTGTCAGCCAAAAGGGACCCCCTTTCTTCTCCCAGCTGCATTTGTCAGGGTGTTCCGGCATCTGCACCCCAGGCCACGGTCCCAGTGGAGGAGACATCCTATCTAGATTCCTGATCCCTTGGGGCAAACCAGAGCCCTGGGAGACCCATTCCCACAGGTCTGGCTCAAGTGCTACCTCATGGGTTTGACCCCTAGCCAGAAGAAACACAGCCGGCACTTCGTTCTAAGGCAGGGCTGCGCCTCCTCTCCCTACCAGGACATGCACTCTCCCAGCAGGGCTCAGAACTCGATCGCTTTAGGACCCTGTCCGGAGTCCAAAAAAAGGCATGAAACAAATCGTTCCTGCTCACCCAAGGCAAGGCACAAAACAAACATCCGCTATGTATTTTAGACCACCCCTTGATAATTCATAGCACTGGGTACAAAATAAATGCTCGGGAGCTTGCGGCTATAACACACCGAGAAGTAATGGCAAGAAAGAGTCTGGATGTGTTTGCTACAGATGTGACAGTTCCAATCTGCAGCTGGCTGGCTCCACGGCTGCAGAAGCTGTTCCTGCTTGGTGGCCACCTGCTCTCCAGCTCTCCAAGACTGCTACATGCTGCACTTGAGTGTCTAACACAGCACTTTGGGATGTATGAGGCTGTTTGCTGAGTGTGTGTCAAACACTCGACAGTTTCTAGGGAAGACGGCAACTTCACAGTAAATGTAATGGGCATAACTGTATTATTAAAACTATTTAGGATCTACTTTTATTTTATGAGTGCTCTGCCTGCATGTATGCATAACACAGGTCAGAAGAGGGCTCTGGATGCCCTGGAACTGGAGTCATGGGTGGCTATGAGCTACCATGTGGGCGCTGGGACTCCAGCTCAGGTCTTCTGGAAGAGCAATCAGCGCTCCTAACCCGAGTCACCTCTCCAGAACCTTTCTGTTATAGAGATTTTCCTGCCTCTGCCTCTCAAGTGCTGGGATTAAAGCCCTGCGCCACCATTGTCCAGCTTAATGAGTTTTAATAATTTAATACAGTGAAGTCCATCATTCACAGGGGTGATGGAGAGTGTGGGAGCGTGAGAAAGGAGAGGGAAACAAAGCCTTTACACAGAACTTCAGAGCCAAGACCCTTTCCACACATGCTAATGTACACTGGACTATACAAAGCAGCCTGGCAGGAAGCATCAAGTGGAGGGGGCGCAGCCCCCAGCTCATGTGGCCAAAGCTTCTCAGGCAGCGGAGCTGTCCCCTCCCCCCTCAGTAGAAATGCTGGTCGGGAAAGATTTTTCAATCGGGTCCCACACACCTTTTCCCCGGAGAATCTTCCATGTTGAATTGTCTGTGAAGGTGACAAGCATGGTGAGGTGCAGCGTGATGAGCTTGGAGTCTTGTAAGATTTCTGGCTGCAGACGATGGAGTAGGGTTAACATTCACGCCCCAGATCCCAGTCCATGGGGCATGTGCCCCACTGTGCAGCCAACTCACACGAGAATCCATGCAGTATATTCTAGACTTCCAGGCTGTGAATACTTCACCATGAGATCAAATGCTGCCAGGAATGGAGAGCTGAGCATCCTGGGAAACAGGATCCCAGGCTGCCTCAACCTGTGTGCCCACAGCTAGAGCAGGGCAGTGACAGAGGACAGCTGCAACAGACTGATGGGGACTAGGGGGTCCAACCGAGCCCTGCTACTTACTGGCTGTTTGACCTTGGAGAAGTTCAACCCCTCTGTGCCTCGGTTCCCTTATCTATTCACTAGGGACAACAGCACTATTTTCTTCAAGGGTTTTATGAGAAATAATGGCTTACTGAACAGAGACCCGAGAACAGAACCCTGAACGTAGCTCAGCCCAGGTTCTGTTGCTGCTTCTTGTAATTTTATGATTGCCCTGTTTTGCAAGAGTGAGCCAGGCAAACTCTCAACTGTGTTCTAGGCTCAGGGAATCTACCATACATCCACTGCCCAAAGACCCCAGAGGTACTTCAAACCCAGCTCACAGCAGGGAACATGTGGAGGACTGGCAGCCTGAAGCCCAGAGCCCTGGCTCTAGTCCCATATCCCCTTTTGCACTTGCTTCTTCATTTTTCTTTTTCTTTTTTCTCAGAATGTTTTACAATTTATTTTTTGAAGTGTGCATGTGTGTCTGTGTGAGTGTGGTTGTGGGGCTGTGTGCACATTAGTGTGGTTGCCCACAGAGCTGTAATAACAGGCAGCTCTGAGCTGCCTAATGTGGGTGCTGAAGATGGAACTCGGGTCCTCTAGAAGAGTTGCCAGTGCTTTTAACTGCTGCGCCATCTCTCCTGCCTGTTCTTAGATTTTCAAAGAAGGGCCTCTTGGCAGTGAGTGATCCATTGTGGAATGCAGATATAGAAAGTAGGTCAGAAAACCTGCCTGACTCAAGTCAGGGTAGTGTGGAGGAACCACCTGCCTGCTTGGCCCTGAGGCATTCTGGTGGGATCTCAGCACTTTAAGGATGGGGCATGTGTGAAGATATCTGCTCTGTACCCAACGTCTCACCTGACAAGCTGTGACGTGTAGCTTGCTACTGGCTCATTGCCTTGGTAGGGCTGTGGTGAAAGCCATGCATCAGCTCTCAACATGATCACTGGGGACTTTGGGGACACTTCACCAATCACAGTGCAAGCTCTGGCTCCTATGGAAGTGGCTGCTCATGGTCTACTCCCGTCCTGCCCACCTCCATACAACACAAGAATGGCCACAGGACCATGAGAGTGTCTCTAAGATGGGTTCAGGGTCCAGCCCAGGATGTTCCTGGAGCTTTAGAATTCCCTGGGATTTCCTTGCTGGGTAAGGAGGCCTTCTTTCCTCTGTAGTCAAGACAGGGCAGGGGCAGAGTGGAAGGGCAGAACTGTGACGATGTGATTACAGGAAAGACAGAAGGATGAGCCCGAAAGTGAGAAGAGACAAGACAGCTGCCAGGCTTTAGATACATTCTAAAATGGCTCTTCTTGCGTAGCTTGTCACATGGAGGAGTTCTCAGGCTGTGGTTCTGTAGGCTACTTTTAACAAGAGGCCTCATTAGTATCACAATAGAGACTGCTGTACTACAACATAAAGAAATCACTACACCAAGAGAATAGAAGGACAGCTTCCTGATTGTTGGGTTTTGTGCGTGTGTGTGAGTATGCTCGTGTGTTTGAGTGTATCACTGTGTGTGTTTGAGTGTGTGTATGTTGTGTGTAGGGGGACTATGCATGTGTGGTCTATGTGTATATGTGGTATGCTTACATGTGCAGGCAGGTCAGGACTTTCAACGTCTTCTCCTATTGTTCTCTCTCGTATTTTTTGAGACAGGATCTCTCACTGACCCTGAAGATCAGGATTTCAAAAGGCTAGGCTGGCTGGCCAGCTAGCTCCTACAGTCCACCTGTCTCTGCCCCATTGCTGGGCTTATGGACACTCACGGTCATGTCCAAAGTTCACATGCTCGGGATTCACATTCATGTCCTGTTCCTTGCACACCAAACACCCTCACCCACTCAGTCACCTTCCTGACCCTGAAGAAAGTTGCTTGGTATGGAGACCATGGCAAATGTAACCAGTGTTTAATGTGCTCCTGAGACAGTAATTGCAGCATCTGCCCTCCTCCCTCCCAAAGGCAAAACAGAGAGAGAATGACGGTGACTGAGGCGCCAAGCGGGGACAGATGTGCTGGTTTGGGTCGCGGGTTGGTTTACCTTGAGCTGTCCAAGGAGCTCACAGCAGTACCACAGGATGCTCTTGACCTGCTTAATCCACAGCAGAGTGATGTCCTTGGAAAGAGCCAGGGACACGTACCATACCTACAGGCAAGAAGGGCAGGAGCGTGGGCGGTTATGGGGCTGTGTAACACATGTTCTATTGAGGCAGGGGGACTGGCTGGGTGAGCAGGTAAAAAGCAGCACACTCTTTAACACCAAACCCAGACACTGAAGAGCCTAGAAATGGCTGGCCTTTACCCTCTTGAAGAAACACAGCTTGGAAGACGAGGACCGAAGCACCACTCATGCACCGGATACTCGACTGCCTATCTGTACAGTGCACTGGGCAGGACCTTTCGACCACGTAAGCTCACCCGCTACAGCCTGCAGGAGACCCTCCAGCCCACTCACCTTCGGCTCATTCTCTGCATCCATGCTGCTCAGGATGCTCCGACACAACTTTTCCAACCTCTGGAGGGGCAAAAAAGCCAGCTGTCAGTTTTCCAAACTCACCGAACGTGAGACAGGGAGCGAGTGTTTGGTGGGCACGCAGAGCACGCAGGCAGCGTGTCAGGTGGTTCGTACACACATGACCATGTTTAATTCCTGCTTAGAGACGCAGATACAAGAGAGCACAGGGCTACAGGCAGGTTTTAAACCAGTGGCTTACAGAACTCATGAGGCTTGGAGATGTGTTCTTTTAATCAATGCACTTCATAGAAAAATCCAGAATGGTGCTTCTTTTGGTCCCACTCTGTGTTAGCCTGTCTTGGCCTCCCAACTCCCACCATTCCTAGCCATGGCTCCTTTTGGAAAACTGGGCTTGGACTCTGCAGACTGGCAGCTGTCTTTCTTGCCTGTGACCTACACTTTGTCCCCCTGAGCACAAGCTCTGATGTCTGCCTTGCAGCCATCACCCAAAACCTCTTCAGTTATCATTTTAACCTTGATACGAAAATCAAGTAGAAACTGGAAGAACTGCTGACTCGGCTGTTCTGGCCTGGCATCTGCACCTGAGGAGGGTGCAGTGATGGGGTCACGTCCCAGAGCCTGAAGGTCCTCATCTTTGTGACCATTGCTGCTTTTCTCTCTGCTGGGCTAGGAGTTCCATGACGGTAGAGACCTTGCATGTCTGGTTTCCCTTTGGGGCTCCCCAGCGGTACCCTGAGTGTGGTCATAGCACCTACTGCTTCCCCATCATTCTAATGCCACAGCAGCAAAGTGGAATGTTTTATGATGTGAATGATGATAAAGAAGATGCCAGCACTTAATCTTAATCAGAACATCAAGCGTGACTCAAGCCTCCAGCACCCTTCTGGAAAACTGAAGCCTGGGCCAGCACTGCCCCTCAGGCCAGGGCAGGGAGCAGACGCCACTGCTCTCAAAGAGCCTCACCACCATGTGCTGACCACCATGTGCTGCCTGGTGACCCCCGTTTTCTATGGTGCTGTCTCTAGCCTCTTTCGCCATGTCCCTCAGCTGCCTGATTCTTACATGTGAGGATCATTCCTATCTCTAACAGTGAACGTGCAGAGACCCCCAGAAGCATGGCTGAATCTCTCCAAAGACTGCGGGCAGCCGTGACTTGTGCCTCATGTAGGTGCCTTAAACAGAAGGGCCTGAGCCTTCTGGAGCATCAGGTCCTGGCCCATAGAAAGAACCTGGATGTGACTGTCAGGGCTTACCTCACTATCCTCCTTAGTTTTATATACAAACAGCAGCTTCCTGGCAATCTTAAATATACAAAGTGCACTTCTTTTACTTGAGCCAGCATCATCGGCATTAAAAAACTCATCTATCTCTCTCCTAGAGTGGGAAGGGCAAAAAACAGAAACAAAGAAACGAAATTAAACAAGCGTTCTTAATCAGGAGCATCTGGGAACCTAGCACCCTAGGACAGCAGCAGGAGCAGCATCTCACCTGAGGTCTCTGTGCAGCTGTCTCCGGCAGAGGAAGCTGCGGACCAGAGCCTGAACCATCACGGCCGAGCGCTCCCGCTCCTTTTGCACCAGCCTTTCTTCTCGTGCCTGCCGGGCCTTGTCGATGAACCATGCTCTGGAGGTCTGAGATACAGTGAACATGTCTGCAATCTGACACGAGCCCTGTGAGGACAGGAGAGGAGCTGGAGGGTCACAGTGTCACGTGCACTTCCAGATAGGGGGCTGAGGCCCGAGGGGCAGACCTGGCAGCGGCTGAGGCACTCAGTGGCCTCACGGCTCTCCTGACACACTCAACTCCCTACAGCTCCTTTCACACCGCTCACGGAGACCAGGGCCACCACGGCTGTACTAAATATCACATTTTCTTATAGATTTGCAGAGCGGAGGCGGGCTCCCTGCAAGTTTAAAGAGCGCACAATGTATGAGTCAACCCATCCAGAGAGCCAGTTAACACCAGGTGTCAAAGGTCCCAGACGTTTGCATTCTCCGCTACGTTCCCCATACTTAGAAGACAGTAAAACATACACCTTCCATCTTGGCAGGTAAAGACTTGAAGGAAGAAACAGACATTATTATGTCGTCACCACTTTGGTTATGCATTTACTGGTGCCTGTGCTGTGCCCAGCCACACACGAAACGAGGTTTTGTTTTGTTTCGTTAAGACAAGGTTTCTCGCGGGGCTGGAGAAAGGACTCAGAGGTTAAGAGCACTGGCTGTTCTTCCAGAGGTCCTGAGTTCAATTCCCAGCAACCATATGGTGGCTCACAGCATCTATAATGAGTTCTGGTGTGCAGGTATACATGCAGGCAGAATACTGTATACATGGTAAAAAAAAAAAAAAAAAAAAAAAAAGACAGGGTTTCTCTGTGTAGCCTTGACTGTCCTGTACTCTTTGTAGACCAGGCTGGCCTCAAACTCACAGAGGTCCGCCTGCCTCTGCCTCCCCAGTGCTGGGATGTGTACCACGACACATGGCTAATTTTTTTCGATATTATTATTTAAAAATGTTTAATTGGATTTTATTTGAGCATGTGTACATGTACACACACACCAGTGCCACAGTGACGCCGTCACCGCTCTGAGGCCTGGGGATGGAACTCAGACTGCCAGGCTGGACAGCCTGCTGTACCACGGTGCTTGGAATTAAAAAGTTACTGTGTGTTGCTAGTATGTGTATGTGTGGTGTATTAAGCGTGTGTTAGTGTGTGTGTTTGTGTACAGTGTGTGTGTTACTGTGGACAACTGTGTCATGGAGCAGGTGTAAAGATCAAAAAACAATGTGAGGGGTCAATTTTCTTTCCATGGGTTTTGGAGCTCATTTTCAGACGTCTACCCGAGCCATCCACACCTCTACCAGTCTGCCCCTCTACCACTGAGCCACCTCGGCACACACCAAGGGTCGTCTTTACATTTACTGGGGCCAGAGAGCTGTCTCCTGGGTTAATAGTTCTTGCTGCTCTTGCTGAAGACCCAGATTCAGTTTCCAGCAGCCACGGTAGCTCACAACCACCTGTCACTCCAGTTACAGAGACCCGATGCCGTCCTCTGGCCTTGGGGCCCTGCACACTCACAATGCACACACATGCACGCAACACACTCAGATACCTAAACTACAAGGAGAAACCTTTTTAAACGGCGCTTTTATGTTGTGTGAGCATGTGTGTGTGTGTGTGCGTGCACACACCAGTACATGTGCGTGAGTATATGCACACATGGAACGTGTCGGGGGGACAGAGGAAAACATGCAGGTGTCAGTAGTCTCTTTCCACCAAGCAGGCTTCAGGGATCAAACTCAAGGCAGGCTGGGCAGCCACTGAGCCATCTTGGCAGCCTTCTTTTCAAGAAGCCATGGTTTTTGTTTGTTTTCTGCTTGTGTGTGTGTGTGTGTTTTCACTTGGTTGTTGCCTGTGTGTATGTTTTGATTTGGTTTTCACTTGTGCGTATGTTGAGTGTGTGCACATGCACACAGAAGACTTGCAGGTGATGTCATGTCTCCTCCATTGCTCCCCAGTTGATGTACGCCTTTTCATTGAACCCAGAGTTCACAAATCTGCTGTCTACAGATTCTCAAGTGGCCTCAGGGACCCCATTTCCGCCAGTGAAGTGCTGAGATTACAAATGGGTGCCACACCTGCCCAGCACAGACAGGCTCCGGGGATCTGAACTCTAGCTCTCGTGCCTGCACGCCAAAGGCATGTTCCACCAAGCATGTTCCCAGCTGACACGACAGCCCATTTAATCCGGACAGGGGACATTCCACATCACTTACTCCACAGCCAGTGGCGTAGAAAAACTGTTCCTCCTCACTGACAGGTGCTGTGCAGGGCAGAGATGAACAGTGACCAGTACAGGAATCTACTGCTTTTGCCCCAAATGGGTGGCTTTGACTAACAGCCAAACATACACAGCAGTGGTCCACTGAGCCTTCTAACTGGTGACAACTTCTTCTTTTCCTCCTTCTTACCTTTTTTTTTTTTTTTTCTGAGACACACTTTCTCTGTGTAGCCCTGGCTGTCCTGAAGCTTACTTAGTACAGTAGGCTAGCCTCAAAGTTGTGGCGCTCCACCTGTCTCTGTCTCCCGAGTGCTGAGATCAAAACGCCCAGCCCCAAACACACCACCATCAGCCCAGGTGACTGAACCATTAACATGAATCATGCACAAATCCAGATTTCTGGAAAAGCATCTTTCACCACGTTAATTCATTTGACGCACCAGCCACTTCAAAACACATGTAGAACAAAAGGTGGAACTAGACTTCTGTCACATGAGCACATCGAGAGACCTCTGTAGCCCCTTCCCACCTGACTCATACCTGTCAGACCACACCCAGGAATCTGCTGACATACTGACTGGCCTACGGTTAGCAATTCTCAAGATAACGGTTGTTTTGTGCATGCCAACCGAACACACTACCACAAAGCTCCACTCCCAGCCAGTCCCATCAAACCTCCTGAACCAGCGCAGCATAGGCTGTTAGCCACAGGATAGGGGGAAGCTGACTGAGAGAGGGAGCTGTTCCTAGCTGCTCCCTCTTTCCACAGGGTCTGGAGAGCTCACCTGAGGACCTGCCTGTGCAGCAGAGATGCTAGGTGACCATCAGTGACCTCGTGCAGCCTCTGGCTTCAGAGGAGTTGGGTTTCTGGCAAAAGAAAGATTCAGAATTAGTACTGTTTTGTAGACATGGCATTGTAATGTTGCTGAGTCAGACACTGTGGCTTTTAAAACCCATCTAGGAGCCGGGCATGGTGGTGCGCGCCTTTGATCCCAGAACTCAGGAGGCAGAAGCCAATGGATCACTGTGAGTTCGAGGCTAGCCTGGTCTACAGAGTCCAGGACAGTCAAGGCTGCCCTGAGAAGCCCTGTCTGAAAAAAACAAAATATAAAAATAAATTTAAAAAATAATTCAACACCCTCGCACAGACATTCATGCAGGCAGAATACCAATTCACATAAAATATAAATTACTTAAAACACATACACACAGCAAAACACTCTTACATCTCCTCTAATTACACTCTACCTCAAAGTAACTCCAAGAGGTGACGCAAAGTAAAAGATAATTACCCATCACATTTTTTCAATGCTTTGAAAAAGGGTTTATGTCTCAGAAATGGAAAAAACAAAAAATGGCTGCCTGCCAGACGGCCAGCTCTTCTTGCAGAGATCAGGGTCAAGTTTCTAGCACCCATTGCTCTAGAGGATCCAGTGCCCTCTTTCTGGTCATGGGTACCAGTCATAAATATGGTGGATGTACATGTATGTATTCATAAAGAACACTCATACACCTAAAATTAAAAAATAAATCTTTAAACGAAGACTAAAGATGTCTCCTGTAGTAGGCAAGACAGAGATGCAGAAAAAGAGAGACCTCCTTCCAGTGGAGAAACAAATGACTTTGTGCAAAGTGTAACTGGCATTTTTGACTACCTCAAAGGTTTCACTTCTCCCTGAGGACCTCTCAGGATTTGATCCCTTTCTCAGGATTATCCCCATCAAAAATCTTATATATTGGCTTCTATTTACATTGCACAATAGCTTTGTGGTTTTCTTCATTTTCTTCTGTACCTTTTCCACCTGCATGGATCATGAATCAACTAAGACCCACAACTAAGTATCAAGTTCTCATTCCCCCGAAAGCCACAGAGAAACAAGAGCAAAGATGTAACAAGAAAGGCCTCACTCAGATCAGAGAAAACGACCCTCAGCCATTTTTGTCCAGATTCTACCGCTCATTTCACTGTTACTTAAGTAGTCTGGGTCCCTGTTTCTTGAGGATAATAACAATATTCAATCTTAGGGTTGCTAAAGGATTGCTTAGACAGTTGCCATTTTTGCCATTCTTTTTTTTTCTGGGGGGGGGGGCAGGGTTTCTCTGTGTAGCCCTGGCTGGCCTGGAACTCACTCTATACAGGAAGCTGTTCTGGAATTCAGGGATCCACCTGACACCACCTCCCAAGTGCTGGGATTAAAGGGGTGTGCAACCATGCCAAGGCAAGAAGTGGCATTCTTAACCTTAATTTATTCACTGCAGTGTTGAGATTAGAAATAAATGGGAAAATATTAATAACTGGCATTTGGAAGTTCAGCACATCTAAGGAAGCCTTACTATACTGTCCCTACAAAGCTTATAATCGGGTTAGGGAAGTAAGAGTTATATACGCAGAAAGATTGGGAAAGAGTAAGTTGTTAAGAATCCAGAGCACCTGGAAGGGAAAATAAGCCAAGTGTCCTCTAAGCGTCTCATCTAATAAGGGCAGCAACACTATGAGAAGATCAGTTCTTGCCTTAGTCTGGATTATACAGTTAGTTGGCAGCAGAGCCAACTTTTCAAGGCTAACAGACAAGATTCAGACTCTGCATTACTTCCACGCTTCAGGCAACCTGCTTAAAACCAATCTGAGAAAGCAGAGAAAGCAACAAAACTGTACAAGAGTCGAGACCATGAAGTAAAATAAATAAACTACTAAGCGATTTTCCTACATGGTAGAAGTAGCTATGTTTACAGGCTAATCGCCACCACTTAAGGGCAGGCCACATAACAGACACTGTAGACATATTTATCTAGGCCTTCCTTTGTATCAGCTCTATCCTATTAGACTACCACACGGCAATTTTAAAAGCTCAAGAATAGAAAAGAGAGCTTAAAGAAACCATTTGCAGTCCAAGATATTTCTCACAGAAAGCTACGGTCTCTCCAGATGGGGAAATGAAATGCAGATAGGCACTTGCCAGTTTCCTCCGGGTTCCTGAATATGGACCCCAAAGAAATCACTTACTGACAAGTGAAAGGATAAGGTTCAGGATTCCCACACAGAGAGAACGGCACAACAAAGAAAAGTCGAGAATGCCAGGCTCCCTTGTGCTAGGCTAGAGTCAAAATATGACCAAGCTGTCAGGAACCACACTAAAACGTACTATAAAATAACCTCTGTGAAGCAATCTAATTACTCCATTTACAAAGACGGAAACTGAGGGTCAGACCTAGGACTGATTCACCCAAGGTTACACAGCGAACGCACAAGACTCGAATTCCACTTAGGGTGATTCTAAGGTCCAACGCCTTTCATTGACACCAACATAAACAACAACAACAACAAGTCCGTCTCGTCCAGAAACAGTTGGCTGGTAAGGCCAGTTGCCTCAACGCGAAAGTCGATGGAAGGGGGCCACGGAGATATCCCTGAGCCGGAAAGTCAGTCCCCCAAACCACCCTCTCCGACTTCACTAAGCCAAGACTCGGCCCCAAGACAACCTCCCTCGGTCACTGGCCCCGCCACCCAGAGAATCGATCATCTTGTTCCCACTCGCTACCCGCTGGACGGAGATCTTTATCCGTTCGAGGGCCCCGCGCTCGGGGTCCCGGCCGCAGCTGCCGCCGCCTCAGCCTGATAACCCCGAGTTCGGCCAGACCCGGGGCAGCGGCCGAAGCCCGGCCGCCATCTTGCCCCGGGTGTTGTGCTCCGAACTCCGCCTGGAAGCAATTAACCAGTTCCGGGAAACAACAGTTCCGCACAGTTTCTTTGGCCAGGAAAAAAAAAAAAATCAAAAAACAAAACTCTCTTCATCCTGTCCTCTTCCTTGGCAGCCGAAAAAGAGAAACAGCCAGAAGTGGGATACAAGTCTGACTCAGCTAAGGGGAGGTGGAACCCACCCGAGAGGGAGCGGTTGAGAGGATGATTCCCCATCTCGGGCTACGGGGGACACTTTAAAACGCGTCCCTCTACGGGACGGAAGTGGGGTGTGGACAACGGAAGTGCCCGCCCCGGCCCCGCCTCCGCCCCCTGCCTTGAGTGAGCTGGGTGTTTCCTGCCTCTCAGTCCGGATTTGGAGACTCCGGCGTCCTCCGACTTTTCATGGTCAGGGCGGTGGCTGCCGTCGGGGGTTTTCGGGCTGGGCGAGGGCGGCGGGCGGAGGCGAGCCCAAGGGTCAGGGACCCGCTGGACCAGGCGCGGTGGGCGGTGGACGCGATAGCGGAGGGGCTCTGGGTAGCGCGTGCGGCCGAGGTCGGGGCCGGGGAAGGGCTTTGGATGAAGAACTGGAGAGCCTAGGAAGGGGCGTTTAGACTTGGGGAGATGCGCCGGGCGGCGAGTGGACGGGCTCAGACTGGCGATGCGACTTGAAGGATTGTTAGAACAAAGAGACGGCGTCGAAACAGACGCTCCGGGCGGAAAATGAGGATTCCAGGGCTTGTGGAGAGGGGCGAGCGGGAATCCTTGGAACAGAGCGTTTGGCGTCTTGGAGGCTGTGACTTGAGTGATTGGGTTCCAGGCAAGAACCACGGTCTGGAGCGAGATGACCTAGTGACTGAATTCTGGGGAAGGATGCCAGGTGCCTGAGGCCAGGAGGCTATCTTGACCACAAGAGTCTCGCCTTAAGTGACACCGGGGTACCCTGCCTCGTCGCTTCCGTTGAGGCCCTAGGTGACTACACCTCGGGATCGGGATCTCAGGATGTTTCCTCTTGTTGTCTGGGCTGTGGGGTGGTTTCCGTTTACTTGAGATTCTCAAGGGTCTGTTCCTTGAATGGTTCTTTGTCCTTGGGTGGGGATGGGCAAAGTTCAACCCAGGTCTACTTTGTTTGCCACCTTGCTTCCCTAGAATATCAATCCCAAACTGAAGACAGATGACTCAGCCTGTATTTGGCTTTGATCAGCTGTTTTGGGTAAAATAAAGAACACTTTGGGAGAAGAAGGCCAACACGGCCAGTAGCTCTCCACTGGTTATGTCCCAGCAGCATGTCCAGGAAACATGTTAAAAAGCTGCCAGGTTTTCAACCCTAACCAGATAATCTGTGCTCATCATTGTCCTTTTCCAGTAGGTCATAGTGATTTGGGCTATGAGATGGAGGCGTTTGAAACTGGAGCACCTACACAATTCTAATTCTTAGCTTTCTTTCCTGTCAGGCAGGAGGGACAACATCCTCACTAGACTGTTGAGAGAATTCTCATGTGCAGGAGAGTGGCAATGGGTCAGGTTCTCAGAATTGGGGGGAACTGCCTTAGATGGAGCTCTATTGTAGCAGATACCTCAGTATATCTTAGCTGGGGATCATAGCACCTCTTCACCCAGATCCCTCAGGCTATCAGATAAGCTGATCATCTGATCTTACTTAGCATCCAAATCACCTGAGTCTTTTTGTTTTGTTTTGTTTTAAACCCAAGTTACTGGCAGCGGTACTGCTGGTCTGGGGTCTAGCCTAGGCTGGCACCAGTGTTTTTCAAGCACAGGTGACTCTAGTCGCCCCGGCTGAAAACACCTGGTCTTTAGGAGGTTCAGGAGTAGAAGGGAAACCTAGAGAAGGACTAGGTGGCCCATGCTTTGTATTTTCTTTAGGGGTATGTGGGGGAAGGCAGTATTAGGAAGATAATGGCTTTAACAGTCTTGTTTTACAAGTTAGGAAACTGAGGCTTCGGTTCAGTAGCTCTTGTGAATATGACACAGAAAGTGATGGCCTGAGACTGCAGTCCAGGTTTGCTTGACCCTGAGCTCACAGGAGAGAATGTGCAGGGCTTTGGTATTTGATGGTGTTTTGCTTGCTTGTTTGTTTGTTTGTTTTTCCCTGTCTTATTTGTCAACACTTTTCTTTTGGCTGATTTTTTAAAAAATCTTTTCAAGCGTGTAGATGGCTGCTTCCTGCCTTCTGATCTGAAGCTGTGAAGTGAGACTTTTATTGATGAGGCTTGTTTTTGGGTGGGGGTCAGGATTTCACTGGGCCAGCAGAGATGACAGTTAGCTTCTTCAAGACCATAGAGCTAATTATAGCTGAATTAAGGGATACTGAGCCTTTTAGAATAGAGGCTTGTCATCTTAGCTGCACATTAGAACCAGCTGGGGGAAAAAATTCCCTGGGTCACACCCAGAAGGGTGATAGCATCAGAATTTCTGTGAGTAAGATCTAGGCATTACTGTCTTTTTAAAGTTCCTCTTGGGTTCTAGTGTGTGGCCAGGTCATAAGTTCCCCAACAGTGATTTCCCTTCACCCTTGAGTGTTGGGGGGTCAGAGGTAGAGAGGACAGAAAAATTGGGTAATCTTGAATCCTATGTCATATCATTTGCTCACTGTCTCTGCTGTAACGAGTTGCTTTTGTTTGTCTCCTACCTATTTTTAAAAAAGATGTACATTTTGCCGATTATGACTAAATAAGCATTTACTGTAGAAAATCTGATAAAAATAGGAAATATCTTCTTTCAGGTAGCTTGAAGTTTTGTGCTGTCAGTGCCCTCTAGCCAAAAGATAAAGATAAAAGGAGCGCAGCTGTGCCCAAGATGCCTGGGTTACCTCCAGGCTTTGCCGAGGAAGTGGGAGATAGGAAGAGGAGCAGGAGCGTTCAGAGAACGGCGCTGCAATGTTCGAGGTGCTGTCAGCAGGCAGCTAATTCCATGCTTGGGCCTGGTGATTCTCATCTGAAAATAGGGCACCAGGACCAGCAAGCAGCAGAACAGCAGCAGGAATGCACTTTGCCTGGGGTAGTGTGTGGCTGGTCCTTTTGTATTTGGATACTGCTCGTGGCCTCTGTGTGCTCAGGTGTGATGGTGGAGTGGTCTTGGTTTTTGTTTTGTTTTGTTTTGTTTTTTCCTATGGCAGCATGGCCCCAGAGTGGCTTCATGTGATGGTGGAGTTCTGCAGCGTTGTCCAGGGCCTTGCAGTGCTGGCAGCCCATGCTGTCTGTTGGGGCTGCTTTTTTCTCCGTCAGTTCTTGCCCCAGATAGAGAGCAGATGCAGCCCACACCTGGACATCACAGGCTCTAGAAATGGATGGACAAAAGGACCGGTGCTAACCCTGCTTTAAGTACACCTTCTGTACCGTAGGGTCTTCCTGTCTGGTGACCTTAGGGCAGGAAATCGACCCCTTTTGTGAACTTGCTTTCTCATCTGGCAGTTGCCTGTGCTCAGGATCACTCTTCCCAGCAGAAGTGCTAGGATCGGGAGTACAGATCTTGCTAAACTCACAAAGCACGATAGTCTGGAATTCATTTGAAAGATGGTCTGCTTGGCTGCCTTGTCATGCAGTCCAGGTGTTGTTGATATGGATGAAGGATATCACAAAACACAGATTTAGAGACAAGCCCATGCCTCCAGGGACAGCAGGCAGGGTTGGCCTGCGAGACTAGGTATGGACTGGAGTGGACTGAGGGGTGCACTCCTCTCCTTTGGGGCAGTCAGTCCTCCAGCAGCCACTGTTTGCCGAGTTGGCCTCTGATTTTAAGAGAAAGTAGAAACTGGGTTTTTTTCTCTGAGCTCTTGAGTTACCAATATTGGAAGTGTTAAGTGCAGTGTATACATGGGCCAAACAATCTGGATATGAATCCAGCCTGAGGTTGAGAAGAGTGGAACAGGCCTGGTGTGCTGACCTTGTCTTCTCACTGGCAGGAAGAGATGTCAGGAGAAAGCGTGGTGAGCTCAGCGGTGCCAGCAGCAGCTACCCGCACCACTTCCTTCAAGGGCGCCAGTCCCAGCTCCAAGTACGTGAAGCTGAACGTGGGGGGAGCCCTCTACTATACCACCATGCAGACGCTCACCAAGCAGGACACCATGCTGAAGGCCATGTTCAGCGGGCGCATGGAAGTGCTCACCGACAGCGAAGGTGAGTGCGCCTGCCAGGCGCTGTGCTGAGTGCCACAAACATGCCAGCACCTGAGGGCTCCTGTCTGTTCAGAAGTCCAGCGTTCCAGGGCGGTTGTACATACAGTTGATTGCAGGAAGTCCTGAGAGTCTTGGGGACACTAGACTTAGTCTGGGGGTGTGGTAAGGGAGGGCTTCCTGAGGAAGTGGCACTGGCTGAGACCAGACTGTGAGTAGGAGCCGCCTGTGTAGATAAGGACTCTTGGTCTTGACCGATCAGCTCTGCTGTGTGACTCTGAGCAAGCTTCCTCCTGTTCCAGGCCTCAGCTTGCTTCTGTAAAACGGGGGCCAGGTAGCTTCCCTTGCTAATTCTCTTACAGCTAAGTGGAGTCAGAGCCCCACTGCCACTCTTTGCTCAGATTGAGAGAACAGTGTTTTACGAGGGGAGGCGCCCTTTGCTGCGTCACACCCATACTGCAGAGTGTTTGTGGAAATCAAGACAATGGCACCCCAGCTGCAGAAGGAAATAGGTGCTATCTGAGAACCCAGGATCCATATGCGATTTGGTCCTCCCTGTTGTGTCTTGGCAAGGTTCTGGAAGAGCGGCTCCAAGAGGCTAGGGACACTTCCGGAAGAAAGCTGTCACCTGAGTGGCCTAAGGCCATATTGCAAACCAGACAGGGCTTACAGCCCTCGTCATTCAGCTGGGCAGTGTCTGTGGACCAGCTGGCCTACTCCTGTTGTAGACATATGCTAAGGGCAACCTTTGTCCCATGCTAACTGGATAGCCCAGCGTCTGGGGAAGTAGTGTTGTCACCAACATGCCAGACATGTCACTTGTACCCATCAGCCCCCAGGCCTCCAGCCGTTCTTGGAGCTCTCAGTCCAGCAGTTCATGGCTGTTGTTTCATTTCATCCTCAGCCTTGTCCTTTGACTGTGGAAGTGGTTAAATGTGTTTTTGTTGTTGTTTTGTTTGTTTCCAGAGCTTTAGGGCTAGAAAAGGAGGTAAAGTTACTGGCACTGTGTTCTCTAGTTCTTACACTGTGATCAGGCATGGGCCCTTTATCCAAACCAGATCCCTTGGTGGGTTGGCCACTGGTTTGGCACCAGAGCCCTTCAGCAGCCCCATGGAGGCCTGGCTGTCAGGCCAGGTGTTCTGAGCTCACCTATCACCCTTGCCAGGTAGAGCCATCCTGTTACTCTAGAAGAGAACACTGGATAGCCTGACCCTTGGCCTACAAACTGCCCCAGGAGCATGCTTAGGTACAAATAGGAAGAGGTTGCTTGTATCTTAAAGAATCACCCTTATTTTGGGACCCCATCACTGCCTGGTGAAGTGACACTTGCTGTAAACAGAAATGCCAGGGCTGGACTATTGGTGTACTTTTTTTAAAAAAAAAACTTTTCTTTACATTTCTTATATATTTTTCTTCCTACTCCATCCCAATCCTTTCCAACACCCCAACGACAGGTAGGAGACAAAAAGGGTTAGTGGGAGAAGGTGACGTAGTTCTTAGCTGCTTCATACTGGTTAGGGTCATCAGGTTCCTTGGAGCCAGTCCAATCCTTGTTTCAGGAAACCTCCAACTTCTTGTTTCACAACAGCAACCAGGAGCAGCAAGGGGGAAACAGGAGCAGCATTGTTCTTTCTCTGATCTTCATACTATCTGGGCTCTGGCATTTATTCTCTCTAGAGCCCTCAGATTTAAACTATCTGCAGCTGGCAAAGAGCTCCTCTCAGAGCCTGCAAGAGGCAAATAGTCTGCTGTTGTGGACCATCTGAATCAGTGCCACATCCCATACCTGGGACCAAAACAAAAATATGTTTGTATCCACAACACTGAACACATGCTTGGTGCTTATGAAGGACTGAAGTTGATTCCCAGCATCTGTGTCAGACAGCTCACAGCTGCCTGTAAGTTCAGCTCCAGGGGATCTGATGCCTTCTGGCTTCTGTAAACGCCCACAGGCATATTCTCACACAGACACAACACAAGGACACTGCCTTTCAAAAATGTCCAGAGCAGTGGCTGAAAGAGAGCCAGAGTAGGGCTTCCCATGACAAGAGAAGATTTTGAGTCCTCGTAGTTTATGTGCTGTGTTGCTAGACATCCCAAGAGCATGGCTGAGAGAGTAGCTTGAAAAGAGGCCTCTGTTCAGGCTGCTGGGAGTGTCCTTTGTCACTGCCACCAGCCTGAGTGCTGCACCATGTGCACACAATTCCCAAATAAAGAAGACCACCGATGTGGGAAGCTCCTCTGGGCTTGAGTCCTGGCTCTGCCACAGGGCAAGGTCACAGCTGACTTTTATGGAGCCTTTTCTTTGCATCAGGCATGGTGTCAGTTTTGCCTCACAAAACTACAATTGTGATGTTGAGTGAGTGGCTCTCTTTGATCCTCATCTCATGCTACTTGACAGGGTTGTTAGTAGGCTGGAGAGCCACATGGTCAGTGCCGGTATTTTGCTAACCGAGCCAGCAGGCATTACAGAGAGGTGCAGGGATGGAAGAGACTGCAGACAGCCTGATGGGAGCCTGCCTCCATCGGGGTTGGGGAAGGAGCACCATCTTGCCCCTCAGGAGTGGATGTGCTTGTGGTTAGGAACTGCGCCCTAGGGCTGCCTTTTCTGAGAGGACACAGTGATAGAGAGTGGGCTTCCCCTGACTTCTCTGAAAAGTTGAGTTCTGGCCATGCTAGAGTTTTCCTTTGAGCCCTCGTCACCATCTCCTATGGCCCAGAGGGTTTGTGCAGCAGCCCTTGCAGTAAGAATTAGAATCTGATGCTTGGGTGTGGCTCAGAGGGTAGAGTGCCTGCCCAGCATGCTCAAAGCAGGTTCATTCCCCAGCACCGCATAGAAAGCTGGTTGTGGTGGCACACACCTGCAATCCCAGTACTCGGGGTGGCAGAGGCAGGCGGATCTCTATGAGTTTGTGGCCAGACTATTCTACAAAGCGAGCCCAGGACAGCCAAGGCTACACAGAGAAACCCTGTCTCAAAAAACCAGGGGTGGGAGAGGCATTCAAGGCCAGCCTGGGACTCTGTTTTCCCCATCTCCTACTCCTCTTTAGGCTGGCCTGCAGTGCTTTGTTCCTGAAGCTTGGACACAGCACCGTCCCTGCCCCCACCCCCATGGCTTCAGGTCTCTGACTAATGCATTTAGAATTAGGGAGTGGAGAGACCAGGCTGAAGCAGTCAGTCATTTTATTACCCGCACATCCTCTCAGAAAGCCACGGAGACTAGCACAGTGTGCCCTGCCTGTACCTTGTCTGCTTGCCTCCCTCCTTTTTTGTGGCAACTATTAGTCTGACTTGGGGTTAGTCCTAGGTGCAACTCAGACTGCTCATCGAGGACTGCAAAGCTTTTGCCTGGGTTCCTGGCGCAGGCAACCAGGTGTGAGGCAAGCCTTTGGCACGGTAAACTCCCCAGGCAAATCTGGTATGCAACCAGGGTTGGGAGCTGCATTTTCATGGCTGTTATGTTTACCACCGCTGTGGAGATTGCTAACTAGTGTTCTGTTTGTATGGCTTCAAACAATATTTGGTGTTCTTTTCGCTGTTGTTCATTTAGCATTATGCTTTTAAGTCATGACTAGCCCCCCTATTCATGTATTCCCCTATGGTAGAGTAATCCCTTCTAGGCACGTACTGCCCCGATGGAGCATGTCTGGGTGATGGCCCTACAAATGTTTCCAGTTCCCAGTGTTAGGAACATTGGCTCCCATGGGGATGTGGGCAAGAGTAAGGACTCCCTCTACTGCCTTGCACTGTCAGAGTATACAGCAGTAAGCACTCACCCCTTTTTTGCCTGTCCCTCCCTAGTTTGTTCCCAGAAACTGTTGGGGATGGTATCTTCCACTGCGCTGGATATTTCCAGAGCTTCCTCTCAGGGGCTATGTTCATATGCCTCACAGTGGTCTGGACCTGGGCCAATACTGGGCACTGTTGAATCTTTTAACTATATTGCCAAGGTGCTGTTCAGGTCCAGTGTCTGTTCCATTTTGCATTTCCTAATTCTGATGTGTTGTGCATCCATTTTATAGTAATTGGTTTGGGTTTCTTCTTTTAGCTGCCTGACTGCATCTAATTTACAGTTTCTTTATTTTCTTTTATAATCCTTGCCACTCTGTAGAAGCACATGATCCGGATTCTGTTTCCTTATGGTTCTGTTTATAGAAAACTCCCAGTCTGACTTACCTCAGCTTTCTTCCGGTGCCTCTATATTTATGCATTGCTTTAGGTCTCTGCCTCCTTTCTCCCTTCCCTCCTCCCTTTTTCCTCTTCCCTGCTCTCCTCTCTTCCAGTCCTGGGACTAGAGCCTGGGAACTGTCACTTGCTAGATAGGACTCATGTTCTTCAGCCCCATCCACAGTTCCTTGATCTGCCTCAGCTGTTCTCAGATAAGCATTGTTGTTGTTTGTGACCTCAGGGACATTTAGCAAAGATGTTTTGGGTTGTCACAACCTGGGTCCCTGAACAGGCTCTGCCTTCCAGATCTTCCCTGAGGCTCAGGCTCTGGAATTTGAATTTGTAACAAGTAGGTCAGTGCCTGTGGAAACAGGTTTGGAGTTGTAAATACCCGCCTGTGGGGAAGAAAGCCTTCCTAAAGAAGAGAGGGGGAAGGAGGAGGGAGCCCAGTAGTCTGTACCCCAGCGTCCCTCATCCACACCCCGTAGAGCAGCCCTCTGCTTTGGTACCCTGAAAGCCATACTGACTTGTCTCTGGGTTCTGGTGCTTGCTCTCTTCTCCAGCAGCAATGAGGTGCTGTGCTCGTTGTCACATACCTGTAGTTAACTGCGAGTGCTGCCAAGAGGCCATTGCCGGGCTCTGTGCTTTCTGTCTACCCACCTGTGTGCCAGCACTGCGCATTCCATGTGGTCTGACGTAAGGGGGAGTACTGAGGTGTGGAGCAGGCAGGTGACAGAGCTGGGATTCTGACAGTGGCCCCTGCTTGTCACCACTGTGGTAGGCGCTGAGACATCCTGGAACTCAGTCAGAGCCTCTGGGCTGCACTGCCCATCCTACTGTCCTGATGACCCTGGAAGCTTTCCTCATGCTGTCTGCTCCAAGGCAGCTTCTTGCTGTTTGAAGTTCTCCATGCAGGCGGTTAAGCTGCTGTGAGAGATAGATTCCTGCTTTGAAAGCAACCAAAATATTTCAAGTCAGAATGCTAATTGAAACCTCATGGAGAGTGTGCCTGGCTCCTTTGCCCTTATTTGTTCAACTTTGCCTTCCCACAAGCATTTCCTGACATTCTTGAGCTGGAGCCCAGTGTCTCAGTCCGCCTATTCATCTATGGAAACTCTGGGTTGTCACTGGGGTAATAGATTTGGGGGCTCTTGGCCTTTCCCCAGCAGCTCGAACTGATCACGTATGGAAGGCAGGACACAGGCAGGCTCTTTGCAGTCAGCTGAGTTTAACATTGGCTGCTGTTTGTCTGGAAGCGCAAGGGTCTTTATTCTTAGTGGCTGAACCCTGCTCCCCTCCCCTTTGGAATGCCACCAAGCATTTTGGGGACTCTGTCTGGAAATGCAGGGAATGATCCTCCCTCAGAAGAGCAGATGAGGAGGTAATACTTTATTCCATATGGTGTCAGCATTTGGTCTAGGGAATGGGGTTCTTTAGGCCCAATGCATGTAGACTGAATTCAGCCTATGTACATATACATGTTTAATTTGCCTTTTGATGGGTTGAGAACTGTTTGCTTTTTAAATTGGTTTACCATCATTTTAAAATTAAAATTGACAGAAGGATTTGAATTTCTGTTCTTGCCTGGAATGCTAGAGTCCAGGAAGCCCTAGACCCACTTTCTTGGCCACTTTTACTGAGTCAGTAGAGACCGCACATGGGAGAAAGGGGGCACTTTCTAGCCAGCCACTAGTGTGGAGCACCCAGCTGCACGCACAGGCTGTTTGCTGTGGGCTCTGTACGATAGTAAGTGTGCGTCTTGTTTTCTCAGAAAGAGGGACAGATGGCACGGGGGGGGGGGGTCACTATACCTTTCCAGCCCGCATCTGCCCTGTGTTCACAGATTGGGCCCCCATCTCCCTGCTCCATGCAGGAAACACAGTGATTTTCTTTCCCACTGAAGATCTTGGAGGGACCCATCCCTTAGTGAAAGGTGCAGGCACAGCAGTCTAAGGAGGCCCTGGGGAGAAACATGGGGATGGCCTTGTCAGTGTACAAGAGATTGCAGGCAACACCAAAATCAGGAGAGGCCTGGATATGGGAGACAGAAGGAGCTGGCCAGGTGTATGACTTGACATACGAAAAAGGTACTTCTGTTGTCTTCTCTCCCTGGCTTGGGGCTCACAGGTCTGAGAACCCTGGGCAGGACACAGTGGGGTCAGGAGTAGAGATGTATGTTCCTTCTCCCAACAGAGGGCAGAGGGGAAGGCAGTGGGAGCCCACGTCCTGCTTATATCTGTGTGTCTTCCAGGAGCTGAGTCAGGAGGCATGGTCAAGTGCCCTTGCCTGGGGTCACTGTGTGGTCTAGCTTATTCCAGCTGACTGCTTTCTATTTTTTTTTTTTTTAAATTTGAGATTTCTTTTATTTTTATGTGTATGGATGTTTACCTGAGTGTGTCTGTACTACCTGAGTGCACTGCACCCACGGAGATCAGAAGAGAATATCAGTGCTCTGAGACTGGAGTTACAGATGGTTGTGAGCCACCATGTGGGTGCTGGGAATTGAACCCAGGTCCTGTAGATGAGCAGTCAGTGTTCTTAACTGCTCAGCCATCTCACCAGCCTCCCACCCCACCCTGACTGCTTCTGAGAGCTTCCGGTGCTCTCGTGAGAGATCACCGGGCTTCACCCCTTTCTCCCTCTTCGGTGCTTCTTTGTTGCCAGGCTCCAGGCCTGGCCTCTCCTGACCACCTTCCAGAGATGTCACATTTCAGGAGAGGAATTTTAAAAACCAGTGGACTTGGGTGGAGGAGGAGTGAGTAAGTGACATTGGAGAGGACACTGATAAGCTGAAGGGGTAGTTTTCTTGCCTCTTGCCCCCGTACCTGGTGTGGGCCACCAGGCAGGACATTCTCTATATCCAGTGAGAACAGGTTCACCTTCTCTGGTGACCGAGCCCTCTGATGGCAGTCTGTGGTCCTGTTGCTAGCCCATAAGTGCTTGCTGTGAGAAGTCATGGCTCGTCTTTGCTGCCCAGTCAGGGATGTTTGGCAATTGGCCCTGCTGCTGACAAGTAGATGGCTGTGTGCAGAGCACGAACCGGGCTTTTGGTTTCTTGGGTATTTGCAGGGGTCTTCAGAGCAGTTTCAGGCTTTAGAGGCCTTGGAGTTGCGAGGGGGTTGACGACCACAGGAGTCTGGTAGGATTGTGCCCCACCATGGTGCTTGCCTCCCCTGAAAGGTGCTATATGAATAATTTCCCTGTCGGCCCCCTGCAGGCTGGATCCTCATTGACCGCTGTGGGAAGCACTTTGGGACGATACTCAACTACCTTCGAGATGGGTCTGTGCCCTTGCCTGAGAGCCGCCGGGAGATTGAGGAGCTGCTAGCGGAGGCCAAGTACTACCTGGTGCAGGGCCTGTTGGAAGAGTGCCAGGCGGCCCTACAAGTACGCACCCTCTTCTTCCCCATATGGAGCATACCAAACCTTTTTGCCACCTTCCTTTCCCCCCTGCAAAATGGGTCCTGCCTCATGTAGACACTGGGAGACATTCTGTAGAGAGAGCCTAGGACCTGCTGCAGCAGTTGGGAAGCCATTCCCCTGTCATTAGGATGTCATCTGTACCATCTCATCTGGGATGCTGTTGTCTAAGGGATGCTTAGACAAAGTGGCAGTTCACTTTGTCCTACACTGCATGAGCTGCCTGGTGCTTTGAACTTTTTTATATTGTGCCAGGGGTCATCTCATGTAGATCGCAGCCCTTCTCAGAGGCTCCACCATGAGACTGACTCTACATTTGTCATTGTTGGAAGTCCCGATATGTCTCTAGATACCCTCCCTTCACTCTTCATTTGTACCGCAGCAGGCCCAGTGAGAACCAAACCCACAAAACAAACGAAGTCAGTAGCTGTACTTTGGAGCATCAGAAGGGCCTTTTGTGCTGTGGTAGGGTCATGATTTGTGTATGAGGCCTCTGTTTGTGCCTCCCCTGAGCCATGGCCCTTGCAGAAACAGTATTCATAACACTGAATTCAAGGTATTGGCCTCGCTACCTGTGAGCTGTTGGAAATGTTATGAATTTCGCTGGATTTACTCTTACATTTATTGACATTCTGTAGTAACATCATTCAGGAAGTACAACAACACTACATGATTGATGGCTCTTGTCCACATAGCCTTCCCCACTTCCCATACCCCCTTCCCCAGGCAGGCTCTGCTTCTGTATACTCTCGGCTTTGGACATGGTCTACTGGACTGATAGAAATTAGACTTCACCTCACATATTCCCTCCCTCCTTCACCAAGCTTATGTATTCCTTCTCCCAGAAGAGTTTATCACAGCTTTGGGTTAGACAACGTGTTGGAGTTCACCCTGTCATTGTCCTTATCATCACCCCTATCACTGTCACTATGGCTGTCAGTCTTGTGTTTCGGGGGATTTTGTTTGATTCCTAAGTATCTCTACTTGAGCCCCGGGTTCATCCTCTGCTGGACTGCCAGATGTATCAGATCCTCTGTGTCCCCTTGGTGTGGGGACAGGTCCTGGCTTCCCTGTCCTCATGCTGTGCTGCCCCTGTTCAGAAAGCATCACATCTGTCCTTGGCTGCCCGAATTCCATCTGAAGTGTTCTGTCTGTTCTTGAGTGACTCTGTCTCTGGAGTCTTTACTTTTTGTGTTGGTTCCCAACATAAACTGAGTGACTCCTGGCTTCCATTGAGGCCCAAGGAAAAGCTGCATATGTGGGGCTGGGAGTCCTGTCTGTTGGGGCCTTCATGGTTGATAACAGATTGACTTTCACCGGGAAGCCTCTTGAGGGGAAGATGTTGCCCTCTAAGGAGTCCTTTGCTGCTGGCCAGTGGTGCCTGTAATCAGGGCACTCCGGAGGCAGAGGCAGGAGGCCAGCTCAGGCTACATAGCAGCACTCATTAAAAACCAAAGAAGCCCTGCACCTTTTCTGTCTGTGGGGTGCAAGTATGGCTGGGTACCACCCATCTGAGGCTGGTCAGGCTTGGGGCACTTCCAAGGTGTCCAGAATAGTGACACATCTCTGTCCTCTGCTCTGCCCCAGTGTAGGAATGCAGGCCTTTCTTCTGATTGACAGTGGGTGAGAGGGCTCTGGGGCTTCAGTGCTTGCTGACAGGAAGCCACCCTCGTCCCTCACCCTGTGTCTGTAGCCTGTGATGGTCCCCTGAGGACTGTATAGGCTTCTTTCCTCCCCTCACGTGGGCTTTGCCTCTGTCTCTTTCCTCATCGTGGCTGCAGTCCACTCACCAGCTCAGCGTTTGGCTCCATTTGTCTTCTCACTTCCTGTCTCTCATCCTTTCTCCCCTTTTCTGTTCTGCTGCCGTCATTGTGGTGTGGTTGAAGGACTCACTCCCATCCTTTCTCTCCTTTCCTGCTGCTGTCATGGTGCAGTTGTAGGAGCGTTTAGTGTAATCACCTGCCATATTGAGGGTTGAGTTTTGCATGGCTTCCTGGCAAGAGAGAGCTGTGTTGTTCCTGTATTTACCGGATATTCGGGCATACTACAGCCCCACACAGAGAGCAGATCCCTCCCTAGTCTTACCCCTTCACCTAACAGGTGCAGAGCCGTCCTCTCCCCTTGCCATGACTGTCCTGTGTCCCCTCATCAGGGCCTGGCTTCCTGGCTGGCCAGCATAGACAGCCCTGTGCTAGGCAGACCCCCTGGGCTGAAAGCGTGCTTTGTCCCAGCAGAACAAAGATACTTACGAGCCCTTCTGCAAGGTTCCTGTCATCACCTCCTCCAAGGAAGAACAGAGGCTCATAGCGGCTTCCAATAAGGTATGCAAAGGCTTGGGGGTGCTGTGTGTGAGTGTGAGGATATGGGGGGGTGTCTGTGTGTACCTGTGTGGGTGTGAGTGTCATTGGGGGAGGTGTATACCTGTGTAGGTGTATGTGGAAGTAAGAGGCTCTGTGTGTACCCGTGTAGTTTTTGGGTGTCAGCGGGAGGTCTGTGTGGATCTGTGTGTACTTGTTGGGGTGGGGTGGGGGGTTCCTTGTGTACCTGTGGGGGGTCTGTATGTATCAGGGTGAGTGGGGGGTTTTGTATGTATAGGGGGTGAGTGGGGGGGTTGGTGTGTACCTGTTGGAGGGTTGAGAGGGGGTTCTGTGAGTGGGGGGTCTGTGTGCCTGTATTTGGGGCAGGGGGTAGGGTGGTATACAGTGCCCATTTTTGGAGATAAAGGCCGTTCTGAGTGGGAAGCCCCATCTCCCATGTTGCCCCTGCCCCTGGAGCATGCAGCAACCCTCCTCCTGTAAGCTCTGCCCTCAGCCTCTGGGAAGCCAGTGTGCATGGCACCTTCATGACTATTAACTGTCCTCTCCTTTAACCCCCACAGCCGGCCGTGAAACTGCTGTACAATAGAAGTAACAACAAATATTCCTACACCAGGTGAGCGCCAGCCACCGAAGAGTCGGGCCAGGCTCTGTCTGTCCCCTCTCACGAGGACCACCCATGCACCAATAGCTGGGTAGATAGGTGGGTCAGCAGAGGGAACTTTGAGGTGGAATTCACCATGCCATGTAGTCCACCATTTTATGTTGTACGGCTGAGTGGTTCTGACGAACCCACGATGTGCAGACCCAGGATTCTTTAGTATAGGGCGTTTTTTTCACCCCACTAGCACTCTCCCTCACCTTTGCTGGCCTTGGGCAGTTGTTCGCCTACATTTCTGTGTCTGTAGATTTTCCTGTTTCAGACATGTCATGTGATAGAACATGCTGCATTCTGTGACTGATCCCTTCGCTTAATGTTATGTTTTTAGGGTGTGTGTACACTGTAGCACCATCAGTATGTCATTACCTTGTATGGCAAAATGCTCTTGTATGCTATTGTATGGGTCAGCCATGTTTTATTCGTTCATCAGCATGGCCACTTGGGCTATTGGCAGCTTCTGGCTGTTAAGATTAATGCCGCTGTGAACACTGACGTTCAGGTATTTGTGGATGTAGGTGTTCCTGTCTCTTAGGTAGACAGTAGGAGTGGGCTGCTGGACCATTTGTGACTGGTTCAGGTGCTGGGGACTGCTTAAACAGTGCCACCAGCAAGTGGCAGATGTTTCTAGAGTACCCTTTGGCTCTTAGGAACATGCTCTGTAAATGAGCAACTTGAGGCATGTAGGGATTTAGTGAGTTCAGTAAAGACCCACAGGCTGACCTAGGATCAGACGTCTTTCTCGGGCATTGCTGCCATGTACCTTACGTGGCTTGGCGGGGAAAGGGGTAGGGTGGGCTCAGTAGCTTATGCCCAGAGGCCCTGCATTCAGTACGCTACAGAGGCCTGTGTGGGCAGATATGCAACCGTGGGTTGGGGGTACAGCCTTCAGGCCACAGCTGTCCTGAGACCCAGCTCTGCCATTTCCGCAGTTGGGGATTTGGTAGTGAACTGGTGTCTTTGGGCTTCCTTCTTTCTTGAGCAGGAGACACTACGGTGCCCTTCTCAAGGGCACTGTAAGTAGACATACAGAATAGGAGCCACAAGTCCCTGTGTGCAGGAGCACTGGCAGACGTCAGCAGCTGTTGCCAGCTTGCGCTCACCTTACCAAATGCTCTTTTACAGCAATTCTGACGACAATATGTTGAAAAACATTGAACTGTTTGATAAACTTTCCCTGCGCTTTAACGGGAGGGTCCTGTTCATCAAGGACGTCATCGGGGATGAAATCTGCTGCTGGTCATTTTATGGCCAGGGCCGCAAAATCGCTGAAGTCTGTTGTACCTCTATCGTCTACGCCACCGAGAAGAAGCAGACCAAGGTAAGCGCTGTGCAGGTGGCGCTGAGGGCCGTGTTAACAGAGGTGTTTGTAGCGTTTCTTCCTACCTGTCCAAAGCAAACTCTAAGAGGGGGGTTGCCTTTTAACATGCTCTCCCTGCCTGCCTCGTCAGCCTGAGGTGGTTCCTCCTGACATTGGGCAAGTAGAGAAGTCCATGCTCCCACTAGCTCTGGGCAGTCCAGGCAGACTCTTGCTCTTGCACCCATGTGCACCCAAGCTGCCAGTGGGTGGTCGTCCTCTGGGCAGCAGTGCTCTCCACAAGCATGGCCCCATCAAGGATCAGGTCAGAGGACACAGCTGCCTTCCAAAGCTGGCCTTTGACTACCCTTGGCTGCCCATCCTCTGTCCTCCTCTTTCTGCTGACCTAGATCTGTCTTCCACTGTCATAGGCCCCATACGCCATTCCTTTTTAAAATTATTATATGTAGGTATGTGTATCTGCCTGTGAGTATGTGTGTGTGAGCCCAGGTGCGTCGGATCCCCTGGAGTTAGACAGTTGTGAATCACCTTACATGGATCCTGGTGACCAAACTCTGGTGTTCTGGAAGAACAGCAATGCTCTTAACCTCTGAGCAGCTCTGTAGCCTCCCATGTGTCACCTTTCCAAGCCACCTGGCTTCTTCACTGAGCTGGGTATTGGATATATGTTTGCATTGTTCTCTCAAGCCAGTTATTGTCCACATCACCCTTGCTGAGCTGTCCTATATAGCTGGTCAGAACTGCACCTCTCTCTTGGCCTGCCTACCTGCCTTTTTTGGACTAAGGAAGAGGGAGGGCAGCCTCCCTCCTTCCCACACTCCCCTTCTGCTTGCTGTGCATCTCATTCTCATACTAAGCGATGTCTACATTAATTCCGCCACGAGCAAATTACCAAGGTTCTAGTCACCAGTGTGTAGTCCGTAAAGCACGTGATGGGGTCACTATCAATCACTCCTGCCACTTTGGGAGATATGCTTTCATGGGACCCCGGAGCTGGCAGAACACTGATGATAGAAAAGCAGACCAAGAAAGAAGCAAGGCCCTTTCTAGTGGATGGCTGATGAAGTCACCTGCTGAGTGCCACGTGCTGCATGTCCGCCAGCATCACCGCCACCACCTCGTGATGACCATCTCCATGCACTCCTGCTCCTCCCTGGCACTGAGCTGGCTAAAGACCTGAAAGCAGCTGTCACTCACAACAGACAGCAACAGTGACCAGTAAGGCGCACAAGCAGATTCCAGCATCTTGCATCCTCTCAGACTGGCATCTGTTGATTCAACTTTCCCACAGGAATTGAGATTTTTCTTGCTGCTTCACAATTCCGAGTAATTGAGAACCATGTCCTGTTTTTTGAGTATCCAGTGCAGGATCCTGGGTCTTGTCTAATACGTAGGGAACTGTTTATTGTTGTTGTTGCTTTTTTGTTTTTAATATTCTGTTTGTCAGTCTCCTCTCCCTCCCACGATGGCATGTGGATGAAGGTCAAAGAGTAGTTTGTGGGATCTGGTTCTTCCCTGCCCGTGTGGGTACTGGGAATTAAACTCAGGTTGGCAGGCTTGGCACCTTTGCCTGCTGAGCCATCTCACTGGCTCCAATATGATGTTTTGGTTTGGCTGGCAAAAAAAAAAAATCTCTGGGATTTAGGTCGCACATTCCACCCAGCCTTGTCATTGGAGTTCTAGTGGCCTTCAGCCTTCAGCCCTGCTGTCTGTGGCCAGTCTATGTGGGTGGGGTTTAGGAGCAGATCCTGTTCCAGGTACTCATGGGTAGCTTCTGAAGCGCCTTCCTTCACAGCCCCTTCATTGACCAGGGTTCCCTGTCTCACTTGCCCAGAAAGCTGGGTCTTTGCTTATTGCAGCTGCTCAGACCACAGCCCTCCACCAGAAAGGAAGGCATCACCTGAGTAACAACAGGTTCTGGTTGCAGCCATGAGTCTGCTGGAGGCTCCAGTGTAATAAAATGGAGGACAAACAGTGTCGCAGTCTGACACTTTTGACTCCTCCAATGCTGTCATTGTCAGCGTAGGAGCCCATTTAGCATATCTGAGGTGCTGGTTGAGTACAGCCTGCTTATGTCCCTGCTGTGTGTTTTGTGGGGATACAGGTTGAGTTCCCTGAAGCCCGCATTTATGAGGAGACCCTGAATATTTTGCTGTATGAGGCCCAAGATGGCCGAGGACCTGACAATGCACTCCTAGAAGCCACAGGAGGGGCAGCTGGACGCTCCCATCACCTGGATGAGGACGAAGAGCGGGAGCGAGAGCGGATTGAGCGCGTGCGGAGGATCCACATCAAGCGCCCAGATGACCGGGCCCACCTCCACCAGTGAGCAGGCAGGCGCAAGCTGCCTCCGCCCCTCTGCCCCTGCCCCTCAGACCCTGCACCGGCTTCTGGGCACCTCCCACCTCCCGGAGTCTGGAGACACTTTTGTAACAAGCCAGATGGTTATTTTATATTTCTTGACAAAGTGGATTGCTTCTGTGTTGACCCAGGTGTGCACCCCTTCTGAACAAGCTGTGTCTAAGAGCCTGGAGCCCAGCTTTCTTGGCTCTTGGAGGGAAAGTATGAATGAGTTTGGTGTGAATGTGAGAGCCTTTGTTGCAGTATTTATTTTTATGGGTGTTGACTACCTATAAGGGCTTTTTAGGTGACACTCCCTGAAGGGCTTAGTTTGACACTTCTGAGGGACTGTGTATGGCAGCCAGCCAAAAAGGTGTCCATGAGCAGCCTGGCCCCCGTGTGCTCCGAGCAGACAGCCTCATTCTTTCCTGGGAGTCTGCTCTGTACACGGTTTTGTGACTGGAGCTCATTGGTCAACAGTTGCAGCTTGTGGAAGTGGCCCTGAGTGTGCGTCCAGCATCTCTGGGGCCCCTCAGGGCAGCAAACCCACAGCAGGCAGGGAGCAGGCCGGCTCCGGGCAGTGGGCTCTGCCCTCGCCTGTCCTTTGGATGCACCCCATTCAGGAAGGCATCTTACTGCCTTGGAGCCAGCACTCCAGTCTGCTGCTTCAAAGCTCTGCTCCCTTCTGCATCTGCATGGCTTCCTTTCGTCGTCAGGTTGGTGGTGCCTTGCTCTTTGGTTGGGAATTGTGCAGCCACAGACTGTGGCAGCAAGGAGGGACACTGCTAGGAGCTTGTAGCCTGATTCAGGACTTTCCCTGCTGTAACCCTGCAGCTCCTTCATTTTTATTTCTGTGCCGAGCAGAGTTGGCTGCAAAGACCTTTGGGTCTTGTGTGTGTTCAGGGGATGTGTGTGACTGCAGTGGGACGTGTGAGTGTGGAGGACATGCCAGGTACTGCCAGTCTCTGCGCCTGTGCAGGAGTTACGGCTGACAGGGTTGGTTGTGTGTAGACTAGTTACAAGGTGAGTGCGGTAGCGATGGATTTCGGCTGCTTGGCAAAGGAATTGTTACTGTTTTTTAGACCAAAGGTATTATGTGGGTGATCTCTGACAAGTTTTAAAGTTAATATTTTGTGACGGTTTTTACAGCTCACTTTGTATGTGACAGTTGTATACCTTTCTCCTGTATCTGACAATAAATATTCAAACAGTCCCGACTGGATCGAGGAACCACATACAGGATCGATGCTTTTTAAACAATGCTGTGGGGAACCTTTTGTATTAAGAGCCAAGAAAGGGAGCTTATAAATCATGTTTCATAAGTTTTATACTGTTTGTTTTAAACGTCAGTCCTACCCTATGGGTTCAACTTTTCTAGGAATTTAAAGTGAATGAGTGCTGGTGTTCTCTGTAGGAATGGAAAAGCCATTGTATACACTGTTCAAATGATCAAGTGCAGAACGACTTGGCGGCACAATCTGACTTGCCTTGGCCTCTGCGCCTTACGGTTACTGTTTTGGCAGCTCTACCTTCCTCTTTCCTCAAACCGTGTGCCTGTAGCTTTGCACCTCTGCTCCCAGGGATAGGAACAGGCCTAGCAAACATTCCATGGTGCCTGATACTGCTGGCAACTGTCCAGCTAGGGCCTGACCCAGTGTCAGTGAGGCTGAATCTAAAGCTTTGCTTTCAGGTTCCATAGGCTAGCATGAAGTGCAGTAGTCAGCATTTCTAGTTCACCATTCCGTGAGGCACTGGCCTTGGGTTTGGTGTGAAGAGTGAAGCTTTACTGCACACGAAGGGCTCACAGTTAAAGTACATTGGATAGCTTTTTGTTCATGGTAACCAAGTTCAGTGTTTGTGGCAACTAGGGCCCACACCCCAGCAAGTCCTGGCACAGCCTCCTGTTGCCTTCCTGTGGAAGATGGGCTGTTGGACCTCGCTGGAAGCTGTGGTCCCATTTAGGTGCAGCCTCCTTCCTGCTGCTGGTCCTCGGCGCTCCCCCAAAGTATGTGCAAGCTAGAGGACTCCACCCAGTCACTGGTCACGTTAAGCACATCGCTAACCTTCCTGTCTCTGCACTATGAAACAATGCTGGGAGTTTTAGAAGTGCTCACTGTTGTACAAGCGTCTGCAGACACATGTTAAATAAATGTTAAACTGTGCTTCTCCTCATACCCGCCTCCTGGTCTTTTCTGGACACCTGGCTCAGCAGGACCACTGATAAACAACAAAAAGGCCACTACATCCTACTTCAAAGTCCAGTCATTTGTCAGTAGGTAGAAACACTAAGGAAACTGAGGGGCTTGTGAAAAAACAAGGAATCAACTGGTGTTACCAGATTGGGTTAGGCCCTACTTACCCTCTGGGATATGGGAGCCTAGCCCAGGCCCCAGCAGCATGTGAGTATCATTTACAGCAGAGTTCAAATTGGGTCTCAACAAAATTCCCTTCAGAGGTACAGAGACCCCCACCCCCACATGATGACTTCTTGGTGTGCCTAGATTGGGTTCTACTGTGGACAGGGGGGATGACTGCAGGTTGGCTCCCAGGAAACATCTGGATGCAGTGCCAGCTGGCACCCAAGAAGATGAGGTCTGGCTTTGCCACAGCATAGGTTCTGCTGTGCAACCCATTTTCCAAGAGCTGCTGGCACTTTCCTTGGGCGTGGGTAACTGGAGCAAATCCCCTCTTGCTCAGTGCTCCGCTCAGAGCAGAAAGAGTGACCGTGGAAGGCAAGGTCATCCTCTGTCAGGTCTTCTTTCCTGCTGACACCTGGGGAGAGGGACACCTGCTTTAGAGCCTGAGCCCTTTGCCCTGGAGGAAGCAGCTTCCCCTGGGAACCCTCTACCTCTTGAGGGACTAGCCAGGTTAGAAAGTGGTACAGAGACTTGGCAGCGCCTTCAGCCTTGGATAAGCATGGGCGAAGATGGACCGTGGCCAGAGTCCTTCCCTTCCCTTGTCCCTGGGGCTATTGTGCTGTTAAAGACCCTTGTGAGCTATAGGTAAGATATAAACTGAAATGTAGCTAGAGGATGCATCTCATGGATTCCTTGCTGCAACACCAGAACACACCCAGATTGCTGCGACCCAGAGTGGGCTGTTAGGGCCTTGTGATAGGTATGTGGGAGTTTGGCCCCCTGTTTACACCAGGCAGTGGTTTCAGATCTGAGCCTCCTTAAACCTCGACCCTTCGCATCTTGAGTGGGACCTGAGCACATGCAGAGAGCCTTTTGTGAGCCAGTGAATAGCCGGGCTTTAACACTTGAGAATGAAAAACATTTCATGGGAACCTCTGGTTCGTAGTTCCTGCCCACCCCATCTCACTAACTTACTATCGCAACATCATTTTGCTCCCCTTTTCCCAAAGTACAAAGGACTGCAGAGGGAATGAACTCGCTTTTGCCTCATGCACACATCATGTAGCACTTTGTCCCACGCTGCCACTCACCACTGTTAACTGTCCATTTTTATCCTTATAGACTTGGTCTTCCGCTCCACTCTGAAAAACTATTGTGCCTTCTTTCCCAGGACCGATGTAAAACTGTAAACTTAAAATACAGAGAGTAATAAAGTTACGGACTTGCTTTTCTGCCTGTGAAAGAAACTCCCTTGGGAGCACATACTTCCCTTGGGAAGCTATGGCAGCTTATGACTGAAGAGTAAGAACACCTGTGAATTCACCCATTAAGAGTGTAAGCTGGGGGCTGAGAACAGTCCTCTGTCTGGGAGCCGCTGCCTGGAGCAGGAACTGTATGAACATAGAGCTGGGTGGCTATGGCCACCGGGCAGAAAGCAAGCATCCACACAGTCTCTGCCAGCCTCACCTCAGCCATTCTGGGTAGCCTGAGCTCACTTGCCCTGCTCTGGAATGGAACACCTGAGGTGGTGTTCCAGTGCAACTGAGAAAATTGAGAGTTCCCTTATCTCGGTGCCCCTGAAAGAAAGGAGCCCTTCTGCTGGCCAGTCCATCCACATCTGTAGCCCTGCATCTGGACTTCTCAAGAGCCATCCAGCAGCACCGGTGGACCCATGCCCGCTGAGCACACTGGGGGAATGGTAATGGGTCTGTCTCCCTGGAACATCTCTGGTGCCTCTCAGTTCCTACTGGAGGACCCTCCCCCCAATCCCTTTGCAGGAGCCAGGTGGGGCTCCTACCTTCCTTGAACAACCTGGACGGCGTGCTCCTTCCTCGTCAGCATGGCAAGTTTAGTGGTCACCTCAAATATGTGCTCACACTGCAGGATGACGTCCCCCTGTGGAGGTGTGGCAGTGGGTTCAGGATGAGTGGCCTAGTGTGGAGGTTATGCAGTGCTCAGCCCGGGGAAGCCAGCCATTGGGGCTGGACCAATCCGCAGAGGCTGGAAGCCGTAGTTACCTTTTGCTGTTTGTCCGCCGGTGAAACATGAAGGACCAGGATTCCGTCGCTCAGGCTGCTGGTGGAGACGCCTAAGACAGATGCAGACTTGGGCATTAATAAGGAAGACAGGGCCTGGGGAGATGGCATGAGGGTCTGAGTTTGGATACCTAGCACCCATGCAACAGGGAGACACAGTGTGTGCATGGGAGTGGGCTGGGCTCCAAGGCTCGCTGAGGGGCCCAGAAGAGAGAGGCGTCCATTGAGGCTGCCCAGCCCTTACCCCTCAGCGCCGAGTACTCTATCTTCTGCTTGATCTTGGAAAACTCCACCACATATGCCGCTCTTGGAGTGAGGAGGAGTTGGCGCTGCCGTGCCTTGAAGCCTTTCCTGTCGTACTTGATGACCGGGGCACCATACTGCAAGGTGGCTAGTGTCACCAGGAGGGGAAGGCTAACTCACCAGGGGCTGCAGCGGACAGAGCCTCTCTGCTTGAAATCCTGTTGTGCCTCCTTAGGGGTCAGGTGCTTGGTCTGACTCAGCTTTTGTGGAAAGGCTTTTGCATTGTTACCTTATGCCCTGCCCAAGATTGCCTTTCGGAGTTCTCTTTTACTGCTTGGCCCCCTGAGGAAACTGAGGCTGTGGCTTCAGCCTCCCAGGGCTGCTCTAAGAGACTGGCACAGACGATAGCATGCATGGTTCCTAGGTTCTAGTCACAGGGGAATCTCCATTCTCTCCTGCTGCTTTCTGCCGAACCAAGCAGGCGAGGGTAGCCAGCAAGCACACAAGCTAGGGCCTCGCCCATCCCTCAGCCACCCCACAAGCCACATATGAATAAGAGCAGTGACCCGCCTAGGACTGACCTCCTGGCCGCTGTATTGAGAGGCCACTCTCAGTACTGACTGGGGTCACCAGTCCACTGCCCCTCACTGATGATAAAGGTCCTGGCTAGATCTCAGTTTCGTAGCAAAACAAACCAAGATGGTTTGGGGAATGACAATGCAGGAATGGCAGCAGCCCTCTGTTGGCAAACACCACCTGGTAATCTTAATGCCCAGAGTAGCAGTGGGGAGCCCCAGCAAACCCAGCTGCATCCCTGTGTTTAGGCACCATACACACAGGGAAAACACGCCTTGGCCTAAGACAGAATACAGGGTGTGGTGGAAGCCACACATTGTTGTACCTGGATTTTCTCAGTGCCGAGCAGTTGAAGCACTTTGGGATTGATGTCGCCATCATCTAGGAAAGGAACCAGAACAGCAGGTGTTGTCACCAGCCCTGTGAGGAAGATCTGTCGCCTGTGGTCCTCCCTGCTGAAGCCTCTGCTGGCCCTCCCATGACTTGCCAGAAAGCGCACTTACCCAACCGGCTGCTGGCAAAGGGTTGGTTTAAGCTCTCTGTGTAGCCTGCCTTCTTCCCCTTAAATATGTCACTGGTGACCACCTTTTGCTGCATCTGGTAATGACAATTCAGAGCATGGAGCCTGCGGTCCTGGGCTGTTTTCAGACAGGAGCTTCGTTACAAAGACCCTATAGCTTACACTGGTGGAGAACAGGCTGGTACTTCTGTGGGTGCCTTACTCACACTGGTTTCCTGTGGTAGAGGTTTCAGGGCTTCAGGGAGCACCTCTCCTAAATCAGAGCTCTGCAGCTCCAGCCCAGCGGCAGCTTGCAGCCTGCTGCTTGTGTTTATAGGTAAAGCTTATTGGGGCACAGCCGTGGCGTTGATGTTTACATGTCTGTGACCGCCTCTTGCCATAGCAATAGAGCAGAGGAACAACAGGGCATTCGGCCCTGAATGCCTCAAAGGTGGACCCTGGAGCCCCTCACAGAAAAGATTCCAGGTAGGAATCCTCAGCACAGGGGCGCTTGCCTCCCACAGTGCAGGGACTGCCTGGATTCTGTCCCTGTGGTAACTGACTACAGCAGCTGATGTTCAACCCCTCTACAAGTCATGGGAACAGTGTGACCCTTGGCTCATCAGAGGATGGTACAAGTCAACTTAGGGCTAATGTGACCGTAGGACTGGGCCCCCATACCACGCTGGTGCCACATGTCCTCTCTCCTACCATGGCTCTCCTCTCAGCTGTGACTCCACGGCAGTATTTCCGAACAAGGTTCCGCATGCACATCTTCCTAAGCAGATCAGAAGCCTGTGTGGAGAGCACACTTCTTTCTCAGCTGCCTCCCTCCCTGCCTCGGGCTGTGATGACCCACCCGGCAGCTTTAAGGCAGGATATCAGCATCTTAACACTCGAGGCAACCAGCCTTCTGGTCCCCCTCCAGCAGGTCAGCACTCCTGAACTAGATGTTGCTAACTTGGATAAGATTAGAACCTCTAGCAGGGAGGCTGCAGAAATGGGCCTAGGAGTCGTACACAGCAGGGCTTCAGGTTTGCTGAGGCATCTTATAGTAGCTACCACCAGAGAAGAGCGGTACTGTTGCATGCGATATAGGACAAGAATATCCTATCTCCTGCATATCTGATACTTATGATTCATAACAGCAGAAAAATTAACTTATGAAAACAATTTTATGGTTGGGGGGGGTCACCACAACATGAACTGTATTGAAGGGTCCCAGACTTAGGACAGTTGAGAACCACTGCTGTAGAACATTCTTTGTGGAACCCACAGCAGTCACTTAGCTTCAGGACTGCTACATCCTGGTTGGAAACCATTCAGGGTGCTCTGACATACCTGTAATCTCAGTGCTTGGGATGCTGAGGCAGGAAGGGCCCAAGTTCAAGGTCAGCCTGGGTTACATATATGTGTTTGCAAACACAGACTTTGAGAAGCATCTCTTAGCTCCCGGTGCCC